ATAGCATATCCCGAAACGGAAGTTTGTATTTCACAGAGAGAGTACATTCGGTGCCTGGAAATCCTTTCGTTTCTGAAGTTTAACACATATTATTGTTCTTAAGTGAGTACAAAAATAAATTTAGGATTTTTTTTTATATTTTTTTGTCAATTTGTTTTGGATGATCTTTCTACTTGCACTTTTTTTGCCCATACTTGTATATATTATTTTAAATATAGGTACCTAAAGTATACTTTTTTAATGATCCCAATCTATCAAATGGAGCCGCATTTTTCATCTGATTTATGACAGCCTCTGGCTGCGAAATAAAATATTTCCAAAACAGATTTTTCGCTTATGGTGAAACTGGAACATTCCATTATCTTGCCACACACTTTCAGGCGAATCTCTCGAGCGTATGCCGCCCTTAAACTTTGCAATGTTAAGTGCCGTCGCTGCCAGAGTTGCCACAGTTGCCAAAAGGGAAACCGAAACCCCCTCCCCGCACATTCAGTTGTTAAGAGCCGAGCGTGACAACATTTTTAATTACATGCCATACAGAAAACAGCAACAGGCATAGGCATTCAAATATCAAGTACGACAACAAAGCTGGAAAATAATTTACGCATTTTACACGCACCCCCGAGTCGTCGAGTCGAACTTTTCGGCGCTGCGAATGTGTATGTTTCAGTGTTTTTCTTTGGCGCTTTCATTAAGGAAATCCATACGGCATTTTGGGGACGCCGAGTTTTTACGATTCCTGACGGGGGCGGCGGTGGAAGGGGGACGGGGAGGGGGCGTGGCAGCCATACCGAATGCAGCCCAGAGCACGCGCCGCTGTTTGCCCAAAACCAAATGGGAATGGTAACACAGGAACAAGGTGCACAGAGAAAAAAAAACTCTATGACAGATAAAAATCAGAATAATCCAATATATAGTCATAGAAATACTAGAAATCGTTCTATAAAATGCATATAGGTATAGGAACAAATGAAAACTTAGTAAGGGTTATAAAACTTGCAACACTTAGCATATAAAATTATTTTATCAATTATTTCGATTTCGAAATGTTTTATTATTACGAAAACGAATATTTTAATTTATACTTGTACATCATGTTTTATAACCCTAAATATATTTATTATTATTATATTAGGTAAATAATATTTGATCAAAATAAAATAAATATAAATATGCGGTTTTGTTATCTACTTTAATACTTTAAATTTTTCCTAACTTCTTGGATTTAATTCTTTAAGTAATTTGGCAATGAGCTAATGGAAAAGCCTAATGGAAAAGTTAGTTAGTTCTTATTGTTCAAAGTTGTTTAATACCAAGAGTTGTAAACTTAAGATTTGTGATGAAAAAACCTTCTCAAGATGCACAAACAAAAATTGTGTATACTTTTCATTATGGCTTGTGCTATTTGGCCCAAAAATTGTTCACCGTGCGCCTGCAGAGACAAGAGGCATATGGAAATTGGGTAATCGGGAGATGGGAAATGGGAAATGGCAGCACACACGTGCTAAGCCCGAGTCAAGGGGAATCGATTAAATTTCTTTTAATGCCCAACCATAAATTTCCCTTTCGAGCTGCCTTTCCCATTGTCAACGACCTTTCAGCGCAAAAACGCAAAGGAGGAGTTGCCGGGAAGCCAGGAACCGAAAGAGCAACAGAAACTGGAACACAAACAGAAACCGAAACAGAAACAGAAACGGAGCCCCTTTCCTTGGTGAAATAAAATAAAAATAAAGCAAAAATTATGTCTAACGTCACAGAGCCGAGTTCAGCTGATTCTTTATCAGCGTTAAGTGCCCGGGATCCATCCACCTCCCACTCCGCTGATTATGTATGCCATTTCTTGTGTGCGAGTGTGGGCAAATAGCGGGCCAAAAGCAAAGTAACTTCATGGCCAAGGGAATCCTTTCGCATACTTTCGCATATCTGCAACCCTTGTCAATCCAAGGGTATGTAATCACATGCGACACTATGGCCGATCGACAGACAAGTCTATTCGACGTTATTTGCGGGTTAATTAAACTTATTCCGGCTTTGTTCCACGAAATGTATTTACTCTCTCTTTTTGGCATAACAAGTTGCAATAAATATAAATTTAATTCCAGTAAGTATTTAAGGAAGGAAAATAATAATCCGATTAGTCACCGATAAACCACCTACCATAGTCACTTTGGCTGAATAAACTTTATTTTCTTTACAGAGAGAGATTAAAGTAACAACTATTCAAACATAATCTCTTTTTCCGAATTTCGATTTTTGTTTTTAGATTTTCAAGTCAAGCCAGTTTGGTTGCCGATTCAACTTCCCTTTTTTTGGGCACTACAACTATTCAACTATAATCTCTTTTTCCGAATTTCGGTTTTTGTTGTTAGATTCAACTTTTTTGTGTACTACTTTACTGTAACTAATAGATAATCTCTTGGCTCTAAAAGAAGAGCAATTTACCAGGGTATGAGGAACTTCGACTCATTCTACCCAAAACTCCACAATGCTTCGCTGGCGAAATGAGAGATTTGCGAAGAGATTTACGCGAAACACCAAAATGAACTTTTGTGTGTAAATTTATGTGCAGTTTGCCGTTCTCGAGCTTCGTAGATGGGCAACAAGGAGGGCCGAAAGCAAAAAGCTAAGTAACTAACGCCATTAGCTGCTTAGTTTTTGGCCCTCAAGGAAGCGGAGCTATGTATCTAGGCATTTTTATTGCTGCATTCCTTGGAACAACATCAAAACATCGCAGAAATCATCGCTTAAGTCAGCTTTTCTATGGGTGGTTTATAGAGGGTGGTTGTTTTGGGTTCCAGGCAACATTCTACATTGATTTTTGCACCAAAAAAAAGAAGAAAGTCGTAGGTAAAATCAGGGACAAAGACACCGACACGGATACCGATAGAGATTGCGATTGAGGGAGCGATTAAGTGCGGAATGTGCCTGTAAATAGAAATAAAACTCTGCACTTTAATCTGCGAAGGGAAAAGGCTCCAACTTCGAAATTGTGATTACATTTTGGCACATGAATATTCAATGGAATCGAGTTCCGAAAGAGAGTTCCCGAAAGTCAATGGGCCTTAAAATGGCCTTAATGGCTGCCGACGATCATAAAGTTTACGCTGCACCTGATGAGTGCGAAATTGGATGGATAGGATAATACTTATATATGGTGTCTCACTGACACTCTCTTCCTCCATTTTGTTTGGCCTTGTATTAATTAATTAAAGCCAGCCTAAACATCATTTGGCCTCAGATGATGATGGTTGGTTGGTCAGTTAGTGTATAAATACCACTTGGTCAGGTCGAATTGCGAATGTCTATTTGTATACGTATTTGTATTTGTCTTTGGCCACAACACTCGCACACCCGCACACCCACACATGCAGTCGAAAAGGCAAATAAGCGGCCAATAAAAATATTATTAATACGCCAACGACAACACACATGGCTTTGCACCGAGAAAAAGTTTGCCAAGCAGTTTATTATGACTATTCTATTTAGTTGCCACTTATCAAAATTAAACGTTTTAACGCATTAATGAGTGGGCATCATGTTTGCTATATGTTTATCATCATTATTTCTCTCTGTGTGCCTCCTTATCGCTGGTATCGTCGTTTGTAGCTGTAGCACCATCATTCAGGCTGATGGAAATAGAAATGGAAATGGCCTGGGAAATGGGGCAAAGGCGAAGGCAACGGCAACGGCAAAGGGAAATTAGCAGCAGCGCGCACATCAGCCATCAAGAGCAGTTGGGTGTGTTTTAGCCATAAATTTATTAACTTAGTGTCACATTTATAGCCACTCTGCAAACCGCCAACACCACAAAAGATACGTAGGCAACAAGAACTGGAGGATGGTCAGGATGGCGAGGATGCAATGACAGCGATAAGGAGCGGAGGAGGTTCTTTAAAATCAACTTGAAAATTCGCTGACCGATTCCTAATTGATGAGCTGCAGGAAGTAATTCAGTGGGTAACCAATGAGTAACTTAAGTTCCTAACAAACAATTTACGAATATTGAAAGTAAATAAGTAGACATGAGAGTTATTATAAATATAATTGACACTCGTGAGTGGCATAAATTAAAGCTTATCAATTAATTTAGCTGTATACGATAATGTAATGTAATGATGGTAAAATAAGTAAACCGCTATATTTTATGGCGAGTATATAAACATTAAAGCTTAATTATCCTAAAATGAATATTCGGGATTTAATTACTTTTTGATTTTAACAAACCAAGATTTTCTTCTACCTTGCTTAAACTTTAGGCTTCTTAGATAAAACACAAATTATTTATAAAATGTTAAATAAATTAAAAAAAATACCTACAATATACATATTTATAAAAACTTTACTGCTGAAGGGCATAGCTCTTAGATTACAAATTTTCTAAAAGTCAATAAATATATCCGAGGAGCACATAAACTTTAAGTCGAATTATTAATTAATATTAATCCAAATTGTAAGTATGTGTGAGTATTTCATTAAAAACTGCCTCTTTTTTAACCGATTCCGCGATATATTTAAAAAATGATTTCTGTATAAATGTTAAAAGGGGTTTTATGTTTTATTCCATGTGGAATAAATACAATTTTTTTGCAAACTAAACTAAGCGATTTGTGCTAAGCTGGGAGCTTCCTTAAGGTAATTCCGAAATCCGGGACCAGGTCCTGGCTCATTTGTCAACTTGGCTTAGCCAGACTTAGCCGGAAAACCAGGGGGAGGGCGGTTCGGTTTGGCCTGGTGAGTAGTGCCCCATTGAGTAGTCGGAATCGGAATCATTAGTCCCGGGGCCATGCACCTGTTGTGTGGTCCGTGGGCGCTTAAGTTGGCTCAGTTCGATCGGATCAGGAGTCGCTATCGCGTGGCCCAAAAACAGATGTCCCGCCGGAATCAATTTCCCACCACACAAGTCCATAAGTAATGGGTGTGAGCGGTGTGTGTGCGATAAACACAGTCACTAACCAACGAACTAACAACCAACAGATAAGCACACACAGAGATCGACTTACATTTACGGTTGCGACTGTCGCGTGGAAGTGGTGCCCCTTTTGGGTCAGGCCGCCAAAAACATGGTCACTCAAAAAAAAATACCAAAAAAATTAAAACAATAATAAAAGTAAATAAATAAGCACGACGCGAACTCGGAACTCGGTTTTTTTTGGCTGTTCGGAAATTCGGAAATCGTTCAAAATCTAACGGATATCGAGACTGAATCGGGACAACTATAGTAATATAGATGCACCTCCACCTCTGAGAAGGCAAACCGACAGCTTCGCAGTCTCGCGACCAACTGAAGCCCGAGGAGTCCTGGCAGCGGCATTTAAGCAGGTCCCACTTTGCTGCCCGCAGGAGTGCGGCCTTGGGGGGGAGGGGAGGGGATTGGGAGGTACAGTGGGCGGTGAGTGGCAGTGCCTGCCGCAGTAAGCCGGTAGCACTTTGTAACGGTAGGCGAAACAGCTGGCTGGGAAAGCTCAGTAAGCAGCTTTCTCGTCAGCTTTTGCCTTCTGGCCCTACTGGCAATGCCACTCGCTGGGAGCTTTTCCTTGCTCTCTCTCATCTGTTTACGTACGAGCGTGGGAGGCGCAGACAGCGATACTTTGACAGCTGCCCCAAAACCAGGGATGCACGGGAATGTCAGTTGGAAAGTGTTTGGAATTGAAAATACCATTTAATTAATTAATAACTTATTAAATTTCGAATTTTTTTATACTTCTCATCTGAGTGGGGAGGGTTGTCCTCAAATCCTCCCATATAATATTTTCTGTACAATAATAACATTATATTTAAAAATATATTTTTTGGGTCGTCTAAAATCTCTAGATATTTTAGGGGCAATGAAAATCAATAGTTAAAAACCAAGTCGAATTCGGCTTATAGCATTTAGGGTATGATGAAAGTGAATGGAAATGTGGTATTCAAAAAGTATGCAACACAATATTTTCCTTCTGCCGTATATACTTACTTACACTGTGGCAACTGCTGACCACTAACTTGTGAGTTTGCGCAAAAAAAGTACCACCCATCCGTTCAAACTAAATTTATTGCAGATCAAAAGTCTAATCACACCCGGTTAGCGGGCCACACAATACCCTCGATATAGTCGAGGAAGGAGCTGACTCGCGTATAGAGGCCCGGTGTTTTGGTGGCGCAGCCGAAACCCGAGTTGATTACGCCCAGGACCGAGTAGAGGCCGTCCACCTCGTCCGTTTCGAGGATGAGCGGACCACCGGAATCGCCCTGGCAGGCGTCCTTCACCTGCTTCTTGTCCGCCGCGCACAGCAGCGAATCGATGACGCCCTGCTTCAAGGCCCGAATGGTGCTGGGCTGTTCGGCGAAGGAGGCGTTGCACTCGTCCACGGGCACCAGATCCAGGCCAGCACGCAGCAGGATCTTTGACCTGGCGCGATCTGTGGGGGAGAAGGGCAAAAGGACGAGAGATCATTTGTATATTTAAGAAAAAGGATCTTAAGCACTATCTATTTCTTCGTCAGCGGTGGAACGTTGCAACCCATAATCCTTAATAACTACAACCAAAAAAATCGATATGAAACGTAGATCGATTTTACATTACGTAATATCAATTTTAACTTGATTTGATATGGTCGAAATAAGTATTTCATGTAAAAACGATATGGGTTTTGCATAACCAGAAATGTACATGCACAGATCGATATTACGGCGACATGATTTTTTTGTGTGTACTTACTGGTCACATTCATAACGCCCCAACCGGCGACGAAAACTTTGGAGTCAATGGGAGGACCTGCGCGATCAATGTACAGACAGGCAGGACGAATGGTGTCCGACTCCTTGGCATCCTCCGCCAGTTCCAAAATGGCGATATCATTGTATTTACTACTGCTCGTATAGTTCGGGTGAATCTGGACGTCAATCTGTCGGTTGGAATGTGAGAAACGATTGATAAGCCTTTGCTTTATAAGCTGGGGAATAGTCGATACTTACCACATTGATGTCCTGGAAGCCCGCCGTGGGATTCTCGATGGCCACCGTACCCAAGCGGACGAAGGCCGGCGTTGTGCTATCACTATTCACGCAGTGGGCAGCTGTGAGGACGAAGCGACTGGCGATGAGCGATCCGCCACAGCGGAAGTCCACTGTATCGAAGGTGTTGTATGCGATGGCCGCCATGTGGGGATAGACGCCCAGAGCCACCGGTATGCCGCCCAGGATGTGAGGCGTTAAGGGCCTGTCGCCGGACCGGATCCTCGCACAGGCTGGGAGAGAATTTCATTTTTCGAATTTATTAGGAAAATATTTCATTCTTGATTTAAAAAAAGAAACAATTTATTTGATCTAAAGCACATTAAAAACTTAAAAAATATGAAAAACAATAAGGTTTCAATTCTTAAAATTAAAAAAATTAATTAAAATATCTTTAAAAAAAATAGTTTACACAAAAGTGTCCAACTTGAAATCGTAATATAATGTAATAATTTGGTAAAAATGATACCAACAGAATTAATAGAATTAATGACAAAAAAAAAGTCTATTTGAATGTTTAATAAAAATCACTTCTATTTTTGGTGTCTCAATTTTTGTTAAATAAAATGTTGTAAGATTTGCAAAAAATACCATTTTCAAAAGGAAATGTTAACTTGCTAAAGAATTCGCGCTTCTGTTAGTAAAGCTTATATTAAGACTAAGAAATATTATAATAAATATATTTTGAAAATAGTAGTTTACACAAAATTGTCCAACTTGTAATTAGTAGTAGTCCAAAATGTTACCAACAGAATTAATATAATTAATGAAAAAATCAAAATGTCCGTATATAACTCGAATGTTCAATAAAAGTCACTTTTATTTTTGGTGACTCAATTTTTCTTAACGAAAATGTTGAACGAAATGCAAAAAATACAATTTTTTAATAAAAATGTTTACTCTGCTAAAGAATTCGCGCTTCTGTTAATATAACTTTAACTTTTAAAAGAGAAGCCTTAAGGATCTGCTAGAGACTCACCTGCCGCCGCTGGTCGCTCCTGGTCCGGGACATTGACGCGCGAAGGACTGGGGCTGGGCGTCGTCGTCGTCGTCGTCGTACTGCTATGTAGAAATGGAAAACAAGATCGGTTATTCATATGGGGGCTAAAAAGAATTCCGCCTGAGACAGAGACTGCATGCGGCTCCCTGGCTGAGGCCAACTGATGTCCATGCCGAAAACTAAGCTCAGACACACCGCAACTCGTCCAGGTCATTGCTGGGCTCCCTCCAAGGTTCGGGTTGGTTGTCCCTGTCCCCGTCCCCGTCCCTGTCCTGTCCCCGAAACCGATAGGGTTCGAAGGGATCCATTACGGGAGTGGGCGTGGGTTTCTGGGGCTCTCGTTCCATCGGCACTTCCCTGGCTGGCTCGATCTGCATTCCCTGCTGCCGCAGTCGATCGTTGACCAGGTGGATGAGATTGTTATTACTCGGGTTATTTGGATTATTGGGTTTGGGATTGGGATTGGGATTCCGCGAACGTGGCGTGGTCAAGGGGCGATTCACAATCCTGGGCTCGCGACTGTCCCAGCCCCAATGCGGCTCCATCCGAGGTCTCTGCGTGGTTGTAGCTATGCCCCAGGCACCCACCTGCTGGATGGGCATCTTCATGGACTGATGGGTGGGCATGGTCATCGACTGATGGGTGGGCATCTTCAAAGACTCGTGCGTTTTCTGCGGCTTGACTGTGGTGCTGAGCAGCTTGTTAAAGTCGAAGAAGTTCTCGTTCTCGTCCAGTCGCGACTCCCGTTCCCTTTCCCTTGTCCTTTCCGTGGTCGTGGGAGGCAGTGGCTCGGGTTCTGGTTTAGGTTGAGGATTTGTTACTGGAACTGGTGCTGGTAACCTGCTGGGCTCAGAGCTCGTGGCCAGCACTGGGACCACCTCGGGAGCTCGGCTGTGGGGGGTAGCGAGAGGGGTTAGTCTGGAGGACCGGGGGCATGCAACATCGGCGGGCACAAAGCGCAGGCGGGGGACACACACAAACAGGCAGACACAAACTCAGACACAGACGCGCTTACTCAGTGGGACAGCAGGCGACGGTGGGGCAGCAGATGATCTCCTCGCGCGCCCCAAAGCCGCAGCTCGGCACTTGATTGGTGGACAGGGCCCCCGACTTGAGGTATCCCTCGATATTGTTACAACCCGAGGATGGCCGGCAAATGCCCGGAATGTCCGCCTTCACCTGGCACGGATCGCCCTCTGCAATGGGAAATGACTTAAGCTGATTAAGATACCTTCACAAAAAACGTAGTAAATCCAAAGATTCTATATTCAATTTAAATATTTGTCGCTATGTGATGAAAACATCCATTGCGGCTTTAATTAATTTTAAATATGAAAGTATTACATTGAACTATTTTGGTAAATTTTTATATGAAATTCTTTTTGAAGTGATACTACCTTAACTATCTTCTACCTTAATTCAAATATTTTTAAAATTAAATAATGCAATAAAATATGTTTTAAATTAAATAATAGGATTATTGGGATTTTCATTTAATTTAGAAGAAAAGATCAAAAATAGTCATCAATCGGGTATTTCTTCATATCAATTTTGATCCGTTCTGTGTTCATATCAAAATGATATTTCCGAACATATGATTTTCTACCACATTGATAAGAAATCTTACCATTTTGTTAAGGAAAAATTGATATGAAACCATATTAAATCCATGTTTTCCGTTTTTTTTTTTGTGTAAGATTAGGAATCTTTGAATTCAATATGCAGATTTTTTTTGTTTATTATGGAATTTGTTTTTCTGTTAAGAACTTTCTACATACCATCCCCAACTGCTAGTCGGCCGGAGTTTGTCAGTGCCAGAAGGCCCAGAAGGAGGCAGCTTCTCGCCGAGATCATCTTCAGTCAGCTAAAAAAATTCCCGAAACCATTTGTGAACCTTATCAATATGGAAAACCCTTTTTTTGACAGGGGAAGCCCTCGCAACAAAAAAAAACAGAAAAACAAGGCAGATCTGTTTCTTTCATTAGCTCGCCTTTCAGACTGATTAAACCGAACCTGCCATTGACCCACTTGAGATTTTTTTTCATAATGTGAAAAACAAAATGTTGGTAGGTTCTCTGTATAATTTTGTAGACTTCCAACCCAGACTTTGATCATTTTATTTAGTGCCTATCTATTGATGGTAAGCCAGCGGAAAGTTATTGTTGACTGATTACGAGAATTTCACCAGCAGCAGCGGCAGGTGAGATCAGATGATTCACCGGGGGGCCTGCCGTTTATCTGTGCGATGGGATTTTACCATCGGCCAAAGACGTTACCCGCTACCTGATATCTGAAACCTCTTTCGCTAATTACTGATAAGAAGGGAACACCTGACAAATATGTCTCTTAATTGACAAGTCGTCAATCTGTCTGTAGCTCTTCATTCTTCTTTTGTAGCCAATGATTAATAATTAGGTTCTAAGAAACCGAAAGCGACCTCCGATATTGTGCTAAATAATAGAAATATATCAGCTTCCGGCTTTCCGGAGTAATTTTCCCTTTGTAAACAGACGTCGACACGAAACTAAAGTGGAGCATGCAATATTTAGCCCACTGACCAATGACCACTGCCCACTTTCCGTTGTCCGTTGTCCGCCTTATCGAACGCACCTTTGACACGACCTTTTTTCGGTCTCTGATAAGGGAATACGTATGATACGTATACGTTGATGTTTATTGAGTGCGTCGGGCACTATGAAAACGGCAATCGGGCGGCACTGAACAATAAAATACAACACAACACTACATCGAAAAATAAGACAACACAAAATAAAAAAAAAGTAAATAAAAATCACAAAACAAAAAAAAACACACAGCAAAAAAGCACACCAGCAGAGCCAATAAAGCTGAAAACCGGTGGCTATCGCGGAATCGGATTCGGATTCGGAATCGGCGGAATAGGCTATATAGTATATAGTGGGGCTATGACCGCTCAGCAACGCATCGCCCAAGCAACTGAAGCCCAGCTTGGGCCTGAGCGCTTTAGATTGGAACTCGTGGAGCGGCCAAGAAGCGCCGGACCCGGCAGCTGATAGCACCCAGAGTCGATCCTCTCCCGCTGCGACGGCGGCTACGAACCGGTTTTCCCTTCCAGCACTTCGAATCGCAGAAAGATCCGAAGCAGATTCAGATTCAGATTCAGGCAGAACACAAAGCACAAAGGCAGCCTGTAATTAGCAAGGGGGAATCGATGGCTGGATGGATGGTGGATGGGCTCTGGACTGCAGGATACCGTGTAAAAACGAAGAAAGGAATTAATTGGTCTCGATCAATACCGAAAATATTTTTCAGCTGAGATTCAATCTTTTAATGCTAGTTATTTTCCATTTACTCATAAAAAGTAGTTAAATGCATTCTTATGGTGACCCAGAACTCTGTTTAATGCGAAATTTAACCGAATTGAAACTAGTTAAATCAGAAAGCTCTTTTCCAACAATTACTCACAAGAACACACTTTCACTAGACTACTGAATACCATTTAAAAACGAAGGCTTGGATTTATTCATTTGTTGATTACCTTATAATGGTTACCCAGAAAACTTTCTCATCCAAAAATCCATCAAAACTTAAACCTCTTTTAGTAGTTAAAACATTGCAATTATTCATAAATACTTGAGGTCACCATTGACCATCTCTTTAAACTAAAATGTAATCAATCTGATAATAAAGGTGACCCAGACATTTCTTCCAATTAAATTCCGAGACACAAAGAAATCTTTAAGCACGTTCTTCAAAACAAGTACAAATTTCATCCGATTTTGTACAATAAGAAAGCTCGAACAAAACATGCGATATCACTGTTCAAAGACATTCGTTATCTTAAATGAATGTATTTTATTGGTACTGGATTGATTGGATCGCGGATCACAGACGTGTGTATGCCAATTTTGGTGGATCTAGCTCTTGGGCTATTGTCTTACAACCAAGAAAAGAGAGCTGATGATGGTCACACCCGACCATCCGGCCAAACGATGCCCTCGATAAAGTCCAGATAGGAGGAGACACGCGTGTAGAGACCCGGTATAATGGTGGCGCATCCGAATCCCGACGAGATGACGCCCACGACGTTGAAAATACCGTCCTCGATGTTAATCTCGTGGATGAGTGGACCACCGGAGTCGCCGGCACAGGCATCGGCGATCTGCTTTTGATCGATGGCGCAGATCAGAGAGTCGATCACGCCCTGCTTCAGGACCCAAGCGGTGACTGGCAGCTCCGCAAAGGAGACGTTACACTGGTCCAGCGGCACCAGTTCCAGTCCCGCTCGCAGCAGGATCTTGGAACGTGCCCGAGCTGCGGATCAAGCATAGTTAATGATTCCTCAATCGATGATATATATAATCCAGAATACTTACTGGTTACGTTTATGGTACCCCAACCGGCAACAAACAACTTGGCATTCAATGGCGGATCGGCGGGTTCCGTGTGAAGACAGGCGGGCCGGATGTCTTTCGTCTCGACAATGTCATGTTGCAGCTCCAAGATGGCGATATCATGGTACTTGTTGCCCACATATTGCGGATGGATCTTAACGCTTCGCTGAAAGATGATAATGGTATCGAAATTATTAGCAATACTATAAGCTTATATAGTTCTAAAATATCACTTAAAAATATCGATGTATTGATATAATATAGAAACAATCACTAATGTACAAATTATTTACAATCAATACTCAGAAAATAATACATTTTTCATAAATATATAATGAAAATGTTTGTTATCGATACTATCGATATTTTGATACATTATCAAGAACCCTACTCACTTATTATCGATATTTTGATATGTTATTAAAAACCCTACTCACTTATTATTGATATTTTGACATATTATCAATATTTTTAATAAATTATCAACAACCCTACTCACTTATTATCGATATTTTGATATATTATCAACAACCCTACTCACTTTTTATCGATATTTTGACATATTATCAATATTTTGATATATTATCAAGAACCCTACTCACTTATTATCGATATTTTGATATATTATCAACAACACTACTCACTTTTTATCGATATTTTGACATATTATCAATATTTTGATATATTATCAAGAACCCTACTCACTTATTATCGATATTTTGATATATTATCAACAACACTACTCACTTTTTATCGATATTTTGACATATTATCAATATTTTGATATATTATCAAGAACCCTACTCACTTACCACAACGATATCCTGGTGGGATTTGTCGGGATTCTCGACATTCACCGCTCCCAAGCGAACGAAGGCCGGCGTTTTGGCATCGGTGTTCACGCAATGGGCGGCGGTGAGGACGAAACGACTGGCGATTAGCGAGCCGCCACATCGGAAATCAAAGGTGCCAAAGGTGATGTAACCGATGGCCGCCATATGGGGATAGACGCCTTGATCGACGGGATAGCCGCCCACGATGTGGATAACCAGGTTGTTGCCGCTATTCTCTTTTCTTTGCTCCCGATACTTTTTGCAGGCTATGTTTATAGGAGGTTAGCAGATATAAATATAAATATTTTGATCGTAATCCCACCTGCCACAGCTGGACGATCTCCCGAGCTTCCCGTGGGCACATCCACGCGTCCCAAGGTCTGGACCATCGTTCTGACCCTCGGAGGGCTGGTGGTAGGGGTTGTTCGGGTGGGCACGCTCCTTACGGTAGTGGTACTGCTGGTGGTAATGGTACTAGTACTAGAAAAGAAACGTGGATACTGAGTAAAGATTGCCAAGTGATCGTAATCTAGGGGGTAATCTACTTATTTCCACAGCACGGCGTGATGGGACAGCAGAAGATCTCACCCCAAGCACCGAGGCCACAGCTGGGCACATCGTTGAGTTTGAGGATGCCCGTCTTTATATAGCCATCGATCAGGGGCTCACAATCGGAGGAGGAGCGACAGATTCCGGGCATAGTGTCCGTCACCTTACAGGTCTCACCCACTATAGAACCATAGGATTAAAAGGGGTTTTCAATTGGGTTAAGTGGACTATCGACACTTACCTTTTCCGGCTGCATTTGCGGAGGAGCAGCTGAGGAGCAGAATGGTCCCCCCGATTAGCAGGGACAAAGTGAATGGCATCTTAACTGGCTGTAATAAAGAATATGCGTATTACCTACTATATAATATACTATACTATACCATTCAACTATTGTGGAAAAGACGAAGAAACTATGGAGCAATGTTTTCGCTCTTTGGCTGATTATAATTGACCGATTTTTTATTATATTGATGCTAAATACGCACTACAGTCAGTTCTGGTATTAGAAAGCCATAAGGAAAATTCAAGGTTATCTTCTTGAAGATAGTATTTCACCATTTAATGGAAAACATAACATGGACAGTTTGGATCGGTTGATTCACCCTATTTTTTTTTTTTTGGGCCTCTAATCTCCGTTCTGTCAGTCACTTTTAGGGGTATTTATAGCTGATATCGAAAACCTCCCAAACTATTAAGGCGGGGATTTGTTCAATGATAAGGTGAGAACGCTAAAATGTTATTCCCTCAATTATTTCATATGATGAAATTGTTTGATGGCCCAAAATAGTTACGAGGATCTTAGCGATCTATTATAATTTGTACATGTCGTGGTCTGATCTTTCCATTGAACCCACCTGTGACACGACCTTTTTCCAGCCTTTGTTGATAAGGAAATACGTAGATGTTTCGATGTTATTTGAGTACGGCAATAAAAAAATTACAAAAAACAATAAATTAATAAATCAAGCAAAACACGAGAAGCACAGCAAAACAAAAATGCACACCAGTAAAGCCAATAAATCTGAAAACCGGTGGCTCCGGCGAGCAGAGAATCTCAATCGTATGGCACTAAACGCGGCTAAGTCGTAGATTCTGACCGCTCAGCAAAGCATCTCCAATGCAACTGAATCCCAGTCGGTGACCAATTCAATGGAGCTTAATCTACAAGCTAGGCAGCTGATAGCTCATGATCGAGCTCCTCTCCTCAACCGGTTTTTGCCTCTGACGCTTTTTAGAATCGAAGCCAGAACCAATTCAAAAATAATCGGAAAACCCGAGCAAGGCTTTTCATGAACAGATAAACATAAATAAACGAGGAGAGGGGAGGATAGTGCGGAATCAATTATGATTTTGTTGGTCGCTTTTGTTTACTTCAAGTACAAAATCCATGACTCAGTTCCTTTGGGTTTCTCGAGATCAGCAAAAGTATCGAAGAATGTATTTTAAAGGGAAACCAATCGATGCTAACTTACAAGTGGAATTACAAGTGTTTAATTTATGCGTCAATATCGTTAATAAACTCATCGCATGTGCCTGCAAATTTATGCACAAGATTACCGCATGAATTGAGATATATTTAGAATGCACCAATGCGCCGTTTACTGTTTTCCCCAACTTCACTTTAAATAACGAGAAGTATAATAAATATACATTTTATTTATATATTATTTTCTTATTTTAACTTAACGTCTACTTTGAGGTTTCTTGGGCATAGAAAGTACAGTCAGAGCTTTTCCAGTGTGACCATCCCCACAGAATTATGGCCAGTGTGACATGAACGCGCTTGTTAAGTCACTTCTATTCCTTTTTATACCTTGTTTTTCCTACCTAAAACTAAATGACGATCTAACTTAAGCTAAATGACTATTCCTTCTGCTCCCGCTCCACAAATCGCCTAAACTGCGGAGTGAGTAGACCCGTAAAGTACATGGTTCGCGCTTCGCACTCGCCGCCCGTGGGCGTGGCGATGCCAAGGGCGCAGCGACTTCCATTCGGTCGCACCAAATGGAGGATACTGCCCACCGATGCTGGGCAGGCGGCGCAGGAGCTGCTGTTGGAGAATCGCTGCAGATCCCTTTCGCCGCCCAGCGGCTCCACGCACAGGTGAGAGCTGCCCAGGTCCTGAACTCGACCATAGTTGGGCAAATCGCCGCAGGCCCACGTGGGACGCAGTCGCATGGGCATCTCGAACAGCGGGCAGTCGGTCTCTGAAAAGAGGATTCGGGTGTTAGAATGATTTCTAGAAGGACTCTCTGTCTTTACTCACCTTCACCCTTGCCCCAGCCCACGGCCACCAGGATGCCGCTGGACTGGAGCCGCGTCAGCTCGAACTGGCTGCACATGGGAGCCACGCTTACGTTGGCGGGTGTCTGACTGCCCAGACGAAGGGGTTCTTGCAGTCTAATGAGGGACAGATCCCTTTGAAATTGAACCAGACGCTGAAGGTGGAAAGATAGATGAATTTCATTAGTCCTCTGATTCTTAAAAAATAAAAAGCATAAGTTAAGATCATAATGTTGAGATCATAATGTTAAGATCACAATGTTAAGATAAAAATGTTAAGATCATAATGTTAAGATCATAATGTTAAATTCATAATGTTAATATCAATAAGAGATAATCATTTTGACGAGCTATTAAACTAACTATCGGACATCTATATCCTAGAGCTTTCATAGGAACTATAGAATAAAACTTTATAAAAATAAGGTTGTTTATAGCTAATAACATTAATCGTATTTTTCGTATTTTCTATACCTTACTCAAGTTAAAAACAAGAGAGAACGATATAGTCGGGTTGTTGTCCCGACTATCTAATACCCGTCACTCAGCTAAAGGGAGTGCGAACGCTGTGTCGGGTTGGTGTCCCGACTAATAATCGTAACTCAGCTAAAGGGAGTGCGAGGGAGATAGATATATAATTTTTGATTGCGTATAACTTTTTAATGAATGGTCCGATTTGAAAAATGTCTTCTACATTTCGATAGGTATAAATATACACAACAAAATTGCATTTATACTTCTCGGAAATCTTTAAAGATGTGGGCGCAGGACCCATTTTAAAATCGTTAGTGGGCGATTGTGGGCGTTAGACGGGGCGTGGCGCTCGGCTAAAATAAACTTGCGCTGCGTAGGAAGCCAAAGAATATGTGTGGGAAATCTCAACCTTCTAGCTTTTGTAGTTTCTGAGATCTCAGCGTTCATACAGACGGACAGACGGACAGACGGACAGACGGACAGACGGACATGGCTAGATCGACTCGGCTAGTGACCCTGATCAAGAATATATATACTTTATGGGGTCGGAAACGCTTCCTTCTAGCTGTTACATACTTTTGCACGAATCTAGTATACCCTTTTACTCTACGAGTAACGGGTATAATTATTGCCGATCAAGTGACTATATCTTTAATGTTGTTTAATATACTAAATATATTAAAAATTTAAGTGAAATTTTAGTTTGTAAAAGGGTATTCCAGGGTATTTTAAATTAATTTATGAATTTATTTTTATAGCTGATTTTAATTTTATATTTATGGTCATATCTTAATTGTAAAAAATGTTTTGGATACTAAGGATATCAACAGTCCAAAGTTCAATTCCGTTTTTTTCTTTTTTTAATCTCAAAGCTGACTGACTCACCACAATGTCCGCCAGATAGTCCTCGTCGGCGTCGACGTCCCGCATATCGGGCACTCCGAAGACGGCGTGACTGGGCCTCTCGCAGCCGGCGGCGCTGACCAGGAGCTGGGGGGTCAGGACGAGGGCGGCACAGTGATGCAGATGGCCATCGAAGGCGGCATTCGGATGGGCCAGCGAGGCCAGGTGGCGGTAGTGGGGCAACAGGCCTTCCGCCCGAGCGATGGCGGCCACCTCGAGGGGATCATCCGCAGCCCTGCCCACCGACGAGTCGCTCTCCACGCCCAGACGAGGTCCACTTTGAACGCGCGGCTGCAGGGGCAGATTGAGCGGACAGCAGATGATCTCCTCGTGCGTTCCCTCGCGGCAAGTCGTGAAGTCCTCATCCCTCAGGCGACCCTGGGACAGAAGGGGCTCCACACTGGGGCATGCGGACACCGCCCGGCATTGACCCTCGTACAGTGGAGCCTGGCAGTCGGCTCCATCGGAGGTGTCGCGGAAGGCGATGCTATCCCTCGTCGGCCGGTGAGTGGGCCCAATTGATCGCTGTACGTACTCGCGATCCGTCTGGAATATATCCAACCAGGGTTCTGCAGGCGGTGTTGTAGGCAGAGGTGGAGCTGGAGTAGTGGTGGTGGTAGTGCTAGTAGAAGTAGTGCTAGTAGAAGTAGTGCTAGTAGTAGTAGTGCTAGTAGTGGTGGTACTAGTAGTAGTGCTCGTCTGTTCCACTGGATCTACTCGCACCGCGCTCTGGGCATCTTCAACGGGACAACAGATCTTCTCGCTGCGACTCGTGAAGCCGCAATTCATCACCGTCTTCAAATTGAGTCTTCCCGTTTGGAGATGCGATGCCAAGGTCTCACAATCCTCCAAAGCTTGACAGCGACTGCGGTAGTTATCCGTGGGACAGGGATCACCAACTGCTTAAAAATAAGATAATACGATATGGATTTCATTTATAACAGGTAAAATTGACCTATATGGATAGTTATGTAACTATAAAGAAAGGTATTCTACTATCCAAAATTGTAACGTGTATATTGTTTTTGCTTTGGGTACTATTTAATAGTAAAGCTACTATAAACGAGTTGTTGTTGTGAGAGTAAACCCACGGGGAAAGTGAGAAGGTGGTTCTTTGTGTGTTGGAAATTTTAGCAGAAAGTTTTGGAAATCCTGTATCTTTTAGCAGGCGACGGTGTAGGGAAAATGTAATTTCCTTTGAAAAACCACATAGAAACCTCACCAGAAGACGGAAGAAATGTAAGGGGTGAATGAGGTTTTGTCCCTTCCGCTTGTATGGAGAAACCTCATGAAAATATCATATTTTCCAGAGGAATGTTCCCGCTGGGAATATTCGATTGGTAAAATTGACAATTCTTTGGTTGGGGACCGTTTTACTATTACATTGGTTGGATTTACTAATCGATCTTGTTATGTGTAATTATTGTAGGGTTAAACTGATTAGTAGATTGGTAGTGGGACCTGGCTTACGCACTTTCCAGACTGAAGTAGCCTCGACAGAAGCCCAGACAGAGGCTGGTGAAGATCAGGGCTGCTATGAAGCCCGTTGCCCCCCGACGTAACATTGCTCGGTTGACGATCGCTTTTAATGCTAATGCTGGGTGTTATTATTATTTAACTATAGTGGTTTTTTTCGCCTGATTTTGCTAGCTCAACAATAAAACTGGAGGCGGAGAAACTGACCGATCGACGGCGCTGCTGGCGATCAACTGGCATCTGGCATGTGGCGGTAGCCACTCTCGGAGCAAATGAGCTGGACCGGGTGATTCTCCCGCCCTCCCAACTGGTTCAAAGATCTGCGATCTGGGAATCGCACCGAGAGAGGAAGAGAGATAGAGAGAGAGAGAGAGCGAGAGCTTTCGGAGCGCGAGGTTGACCCAACATGATTGATTCGACAAAGTTAGTCACTGCCGATCGGTTGGTTGGGAGAAACCCCAAAAAAAGAGAAGAGAAGAGAAGTGCATCCATAGAAATTAGGGGGTGCACCGCTTGGTTAATATATTATGAAAGTATTACCTAAGGTTCCGGTGACTAAACTAATTATTACCTTCAAGAACTACGTAACTTCGTATACTGACTGCTAATGACGCCCATTGATAAAGTCCAGCTTCGATGGATTCACCAGACTTGCCTTGCCGGATTTTGTTGTAATCGAAACAAGGAACTTTTGAAGCTTCTCCTAGAGTTCCCAGAAAACTGAGCGTTTAATCGCAAAATAATCTCGAATTCGGGGAATCAATATATGAATCCCATCTTCCCTTCTCCTCCATAGTCTACGCCTTTGTTTCGATTCTCATCGGATCAGCATTCTATAATCCCTGAAATCTCTGAATGATAAGAAAACCACCCAGGATAATCATTCATTTGCCGTATATCAAATATATATTGATTTTTATATCGAAACAGTCACTGGTCCACTGGTCGAAAAACCAGTCTGAGGAGATTCAATTTCGATAGGGCGCCAACCAACAAGGAACACTTTATTTGTACAACGATTTGGATGAGTAAAAAACATTGTGTGTGGATTTTCACAGGAGTGTGTTTGGATTTTTTTTCCTATGTTCTTTAATGTAGGTCTATAATACTAATAATACTCTCGGCAGGAAGGGCAGAAACAGGGGAAGGGTTTTAAGTTCATGATCACAGTTGGGTTCCAGGCGAAACTTTTATTGTAGCTGAAAGTTCTGGGCGACGCGGAGTTCCTAGTAGCCGTAGATGAACGTCTCGTAGACGAAGCTGCGGGTCAGATTGGAGGTGAGCAGGATCTCGACGTTGGTCTGACCGATGCCGCCTTTGCTCAGATAGCCGCCGGCATCGTCCGCCGACTGGTCCACGTACACCTCGATGCAGGTGAGCGTGACTCCGGTTGTCGATCCGGCCGGATAGCTCATCAGCACCTCGATGTCCTTTGCGCTGGCGAAGCTCTCGTCATCGTAGTGATTCACAATCAGCCGATCGCCCGACGTTCGCTCCCCGGAGGTAAAGACGATGTTGCCCTTCGAGTGCTTCACCTTGTTCATCTCGGTGAGCTGGATATCCGGATTGAGTGTGGTGTATCGCGTGTCATCGGTCACCGGGGTGATGTCCGTATAGTAAAGATCGCTGGCACGGGCATGTGGCTGTCCGGATGCCGAAATGGCTAGGCCCAAAACCAGGCAACAGATCACAAGATCACAGATCATTTCGCGAAACACCGAAAAAAAATATAAGGAGGGTTCTGGGCTCTTTCTAATGCACTATTCAACCGCTTTTCGGATTTTGGTTGGTGCTGGCGACCGTCTCCGGCTTTTATACGTACTCCCTTATCGGCGGTCACTACCTCGATAAGACGGCTCGTCGACAACTGAACGATAAGCCCGGGAATTGGCCATGGCAATTTCGGCAGGCAGCGATTAATTGGCCATAATGCTGTGATCAGTTCCTATAAATAGGCCGCATCGGGTTTACATTAATCGTTTGGGTTATTATGGGAAAGCAATTGAATCAGAATGCAGCTGAAATAACTAAGTGATCCATAGTCTAAAGAATATAAACACGCCTGAATTCATCAATTACCTACATGGTTATAAATCAAGTGATCACTGATGATAGGCTCTCACATAGGAAGAGTTCAGATGATGACTGGGCATCTCTTTTGGGGGGAGGCGATTCTCCGCCGGCGCGTGTTTGTTTGTTTATTCGCCCCACGACAATCTTAGCCTTGGTATGCATATTGGCGCACAATGGCAAACAATCTAATAAACAAATAACCCTATCTACAAAGTCAATTGCCTGTCTACGCAACATGCCCAGGGCTATTATGTCCATATCGATTCTCCACTGACGTAGCCCATTTTTAGAAAAGAGAGTTCCCGAAGTTATATGGTTATTCCCCATCCCATGAACTCGTGAGAGTTTAGCAATTGTTCGATTTCAGTCTGTGAATCATACATCATATGGGAATTCCTTCCGAGATCCCACCAGATAGGCGGAAAGTTCGAACAACGTCAGAGGAATTGTATATTTTTAGACTCTTTAGCAGTCAAATCCCAGTTTGATTTACAATTTCGGTTTCACTTTCCGCGACGAAGCCCCAATCGGAATCCGAATCACAGATACAGCTGAGTGGCTGTCCCCGATTTATGGCACTGGCTGTCATCGCTTTCGAGTGGAAGGCGCGTGAGCAAGAAAACCATTTGAAGTTACTCGAGATTAGCGAATAGCCGCAGGCGATGATGATATATGATCCCCCACCAGCAGCCCATATAGTTGGGGCATCCAGTTTTACACAGAGGAAAAATAGGTTACCTTAAAATTATAAACCTTTTTAGAAGATCTGAGTTACTATGATATGCTGAATATATCAGGAGATAACCTATTTTAAAGATCAAGAAAATTATGATTTTACGACTTATTTCGCATTAATTTAGAGTTTTCTTATAAGTGTATAATTTAGGTTTATAAACCATTCCTGAAGAGCTGAGTTACTATATTATGCTAAATATTCCTGATAACCTATTATAAAGATCATGAAAATTATGATTTTTCATATAAATTTTCATATATATGTATAACTTAGGTTCAGTTTGTTACATCATTTTGTATGATTTCTTTTTATAATGAAACAATTTAACATTTAATTATAGATCAATTAAAAATATATATATTCAAGTTATAATGCGTTAAGGGTAGACTTTGGTGACCGGAATTCATTATTATTAATTTAATTTATTTATTTGTTTTATCCTGATGCGACAAGATTTTGTAACTTTCTTTTACTTCTCATTCTGCAAATGAGAACCAATTTTTTGATTTGGTAATCTTAATGTGATCTTAAGCCGGAAATGAAACCATAGTTATTATTTATATCGAGGTAATCTCGGGCTTGGAACCCTAATTAGGCTGCCTGCAAACACGTATATTTTAAATTTGAGTTTTCAAGTAAGATATAAAACTATTAGATAGAGAAAGCCGATGCCTAGATCCACTGGCCGTAGTACAGAGCCTGGTAGGAGAAGTTCTTGGTGTTCTTGGCCTCCAGCACAATGGAGATGTAGCGCTGACCGATGCCTCCGGCCACCACGTAGGCGGTGCCATCGCTGGCGTCCTGGGTGCAGGTCAGCTCCACGTAGGACAGGGCGGCGCTCTTATCTCCGGGCTTCTCTGGGTAATCGAGCTGCACGCTCACATCCTGGTTCCGTGGGAACTCGAAGGTGTCGGCCGTCTGGTAGACCAGAGTGTCGCCTGAAAGTATGCCAAATGAGAAAGTTAGTAATCGATGGTAGTGTATGCTTTGGGGAACTTACTGGAAATACGGGCTCCCAGGTTGTAGCGAACGCTAAGACTTCCGGCACGAGCCTTGCCGGGCACGATGTGCATATCCATTGGCTGGATCCTCAATCCCGGATGCTGGGCGGCAAAGACATGGATATCCCGCACCACTCGGATCTCGTTGCTATCTAAACGAAGGGCTCCAGCCGATCCACCGGAAACAAGGCAGCCCAGCAGGGCGGACAACAGGATCAGGCTGTACTTGGACATCTTGGGTATATAATAGGATTCTTCGATTCAGGAAGTTGTAAGCTCACGGCGCGTCGAAGTCACGGAATGATGGCCAAGGTCTGGAAACCACCTATTTATACCTGTCGAGGGAAACCTCCGGTTTGCTTTGAATCACATCGGTTGGCCCCCTTATCAGGCCCATTGCCAATTTCGAGTGCCAAGTGACAATGTCTAATCCAGAAACTAAAAAATAGACGCACCGAAGGGGGAAGCACACTGCCAGGGCCATAAAGGTACCAATTTCTCAAAAATATAGCGAAAGAATTACAAAGTGTGTAGTAAAATTTAAGTTCTAAAATAATAAAATTATTGGTTTAAGAGAACTTATAATATAAACTTTTGGCACCTATAGAAAGAGCACTTCAATTCCGTTTAAATTACTCAAAAATGTTCTCATTGAACAAATGTTAGAAAATTTTGTTAAAGTCAAATTTTAAACTTTTTCTCTGGGGCTTAAAACAAAAATGCTTTGATGTAAAGTTTTTCCCCAAGCAAAATTAATAAAAACTGCAAAAAAAATTCCAAAATATTTTTCCTTGTATTTTGTATGATTTTTTGAATGGGAAGATCTCAGTAAAACTTTGTATGAAAAGAAGGAAAAAGCTGCTAAAATTGTAATTTTTAGCTATTTTCTCAAAAATATAGCCAAAAAAAACTACAGAGTTGTAGTAAAGTTTAAGTTATAAAATAATAAAATTATTGGCTTAAGAGACTCTACGGTTAAAGAACCAAAAAATCTACTTATATTTCCAGTATCTCAAAAATATAGCCAAAAAACTACAGAGTTGTAGTAAAATTTATGTTATAAAATATCAAAATTATTGGTTTAAGAAACTCCAAGTTCAAAGAACCCAAAGTCTACTTCAGTGTGTCTACACCAGGAAAGAGTAACAATAATAACACTGATAAGAGCCATTCCCACTTCATTCAATTAAATTGAACAATTTTGGTGTTATTGCGCTTGGATCTAATCATCCCGGCGGCTGTGACGAAAGATAACACTAGAGTCTTATTTTCGGGTCTACTGCCACAGCCTATCCAGCAGTAAACAAACATTCTATTTTCTCTGCCTGTTGATTAGCCTGACCAGCTCCTAACGCAATTGAATGGCCCAGGATTGACACCTGCCTGACACTCCTCCTCCCTCCGCCTGGGGTAGAGAACTTCCCGGAATCTTATCGCCAGCGGACTTCCCTGGAACTGGGGCGTCGAGTGCTCTTCGAGACGAATCGGCCCATCATTACGATCGATATTGTTGATTCGATTAAACAATAAGTTCTGAATCATTTGCTTAAATTAGGATCCACTAGTCATTCTATACACTTCTTGAACTAGTGTTCCATAACTGTCTCTAAATATCGCTTTCTTCTTAGTTAAGGAATTATATATTATGTATAAACTTCAGATCTTCAAATATACATTTTGAATACTCTTTCAATAATATCTAATGTTCTACATTAAAAAAGGTTTTAAAATAATAATATTCAAAATATCATAACGATCTCTTCCAAATTATTATATTATAAACTTAAATATTCTGTTATTGATATCATTAAAATCTGCATTTTGAATACTCTTTTCATAATATCCAATTTTCTACATTAATAAATGTTTTAAAATAATAATATTCAAAATAGCATAACGATCTCTTCCAAATTATTGTATATAAACATAAATATTGTGTTATTTATATAATTAAAATCTACATTTTGAATACTCTTTTAATAATGTCCAATTTTCAACATTAAAAAATACAAAATAATAATATTCAAAATATCATAACGATCTCTTCCAAATTATTGCATTATAAGCATAAATGTTGCTTTCCCACAACCTTAAATAATCAACAGTTCAGTTTACAAGGTAAAGTGTTTAGAAAACTTGTTTATTTCTATGCTATTATTCAGACTTATCGATAACTCTAAAGTTACACATGAATGTAAAATATTGTTTTCAAAAATCAAACTCCCGAAGCACTTGCAACGATCTCAATTACGATTACGACAGAGAGCTTAGCGGAAATCGCAAGAAATCGAACAGAAAATGTTACGTAAAAAGTTAAGGAGCCGAGCTTGGCTGCAGACTCGATCGGTTCGGTTCGGATTTGATTGGGTTATAATCGATTAGATTGGAATGTGGCAGCATCGGAACTAAGCTAAGGTTAGTTGGAGTTACAGAGTTACAGAAGTACAGACTAAGGTTAGTACATTAATTCGTGTTGGCAATCATAAAGCAAAACAATCTATCGCGTTCCGTAAATCCATAAATCCTCTATTGCACTCGATACGCCATCTCTTTCTATTTCGCTCCCGTTCTCTATCTCTATCGCATTCTCTCACTCAATCGCAAAGACACACAGGGCCGGCATGGAAATCCCCCAAGCTGGGATCCTAATAATCATTGGAATAACTATTGTATGAGATTCGGCAATAACCATGTGATGATAACCAATTGTGATGATTTTTATTCTACACTAAGTGACTTTTGATCATTTTAATTCAATCCTTTAAAATGCTATTACAAAACATTCTTTGAACACACAAATCGATTTAAAAAATTGCACATTTATATTACTGGTAATATCTGTGAAAGCACTTACAAATATAGTCTAAAAGCAATTCGCCTAACATAATACAGTAAATCAAATTTTGAGATTTACAATCCAAAAAAAAGGTCTTTACGAAATTGTTGCACAAAATCGGAGCGCCTAAGCTTTAATAATATCGTCGCAGATTTGTCCACCCAGCATTCGATGCCCTGGCCTGGACCCTAGATTCACTTAGAGGATTTCCATGTGCCAACAGTGCATTTGTACAGTGCGTTACATAAATGCTTATGTGTTATTTATCATGTTTGTTTTTTCTTTTTCTTCTTTCGTTTGTGTATATACTTGTTTGCGTTACAAAACCAACAACAATTCCATTTCTCATTTTCACTAAATTGCTTTTGTCTAAAATATCGCCCCCTTATTTTGCCCCGGCTGAAACCCTTGTGATCCATCCTTCGATCCTCCTGCTGCTGCATCTTCCTCGCTGGACTTACCAGCGCGGGCGTATCTCCTTGAACCACCACTGCTGGTAGCTATCGTTGACATCGCAGTGGCCCAAAGACAATTGCTGGGTGGCCGGATGCAGGGCCATGCATTTCTTGTGGACGCGGTGCATCAGGTGCTTCGTGTGCTCATTGTACTGCCAAGGGCCGTCAACTGTTCCCAGGCGACACACGGCCAGCTTGATGCCCTGCCGATCGGCCTCCACGCAGCGCTCGCCCACGCCCAATTGTCCAGCGGCATTGAGCCTGACCAGTTGGTTGTTTCCTCCGCCATGGCAGTAGGTTAGGCCCATTATGGCGGGCGGCTGGTGACCCATGGAGTCCAGACATCCGTCCGAGGCCACCGAGCGCAGCTCACCCCAGTGCAGATTGGCCGGCAGGCCTGGGAACTTGTCGTAGACGTCGTAGGCAATGTGGTCCATGAACCACTGGAAGCTCTTGCAGTTCAGCCGCTTCTTCAGAGCCAGCTGCTCGCTAATGTCGCCCATATCCAGATAGCGGGCCAGCGGTTCGCGCGTATAGAAGTACTCCTTGTGCGTGTCATCGAACCACGTCTCGATGACGCGCTTGTAGTTGATAGTGATCAGTGGGCCCTTCTTCTTGCTGGCCAGCTTGCCGAAATTGTAGGGCATGAAGCCGCGATAGACGTGGCCGACGCGCGAGCAGGGCACCCACTCGATGCTGCCGCCGCACTGCCAGATCTTGAAGCTCAGCTCGAAGTTCTCGCCGCCCCAGACCAGCAGACCGGGATCGTAGGCGCCCAGCTCCAGGAAGTATTCCCTATTGATGGCGAACAGGCCGCCGGCGTGGGTGGGACTGCGGTAGGGCTCCGAGTTGTGCGGACGGCGGCGCTGTTCGCGGCGCGGCACCTCGTTCTCCTTGTACAGCATGCCCCACTCGAAGATGCCGCGGAAGTGGTTGTCCGTTCCGTAAACCGGACGATACTCGAAGTTTTTGTGGTCGATGCCATCGATGATCGGCACGGTCATCACAGTGCGATCCCGGTAAATGGGCGCCAGCATCGGCGGCAGCCAGTTGGTGTTCACTTCGCAATGGGCGTCCAGGAAGACGATCACCTCGCCTGCGATTAAAGATTAATGTCAGATGTTAAAATAGTTTACAACTTACTAGTTTTTCATAAAAAGGGATACCTTAAAAGTTATCCTTTAATCTGAAGAATTATCTTTTCTTTTAATACATCAAAATATGTAGATATTATTGAGTACCTATGTTATGATGTTTTTGAGTTTTGAGTTTTTCAACTATTTGGGAACTTTAAGATAAAATTTTTTTTTTTTTCTAATAAATCAAAATATGCATATTATTGAATTTCCATATTTTGATGTTTTTCTTTTACATACAAAATATTTATTTTCGATACAACATTTGAGTTTTTAAACTATTTGGGAACTTTAAGATAACTTTAAGATAAAATGATTATCTTTTTTTCTAATAATAAAAATTTGTGGATATTATGGAATCTCTATATTTTGATGTTTTTCTGTCACATGCAACATATTTCCTTTCGATACAACATTTGAGTTTTTCAACTATTTGGGAACTTTAAGATAAAATAATGATATTTTTTTTTAATAAATCAAAATTTGGATATTATATATTATTGAATTTCCATATTTTGATGCTTTTCTTTCACATACAAAATACTTCTTTTCGATATTTGAAACTATTTGGTAACTTTAAGATAAAATGACTAATCATTTAAATCTTGCAGAACGTGGAGATTCATAAATTAAAATTTCAAATACCTATCGCTTGGCATTTGATAAAAATATCTAAAGATACAGATCTTTTTTTTTAATTTTGGCACGTTCAGTGGCACTATGACTACTTGGCGATAATTTAAACGTGTGAGGTTACCAGTCTTACGGCCAAATTCTCTCAAGGTTTTAGTTGAGTGGGCACTTTCAAATGAAATAAAGACGCACCTGTGGCCTCCATGGCTCCTCTGGAACGCGTTCGGATGAGACCCTCGCGCTCCTTGTTCCTAATCACCTTGACCAGTCCCTTGAACTGCAGCACATACTCGTCCAGCTGGGTGCGCAGGTTCTCCTTGTCGGAGAAGTCGTCCACGAGGATGATCTCGTGCAGCATGTGCGTGGGCGAGCGGTCGATGACCGAGTGGACGGTGCGCATCAGCACCGAGAAGCCCTCGTTGTGGAAGACAATGATGACGCTGGTGCTGGGCAGATCGAAGGGGTAGTCCCAGTGGCGGCACTCCTCCAGGCGCGTGTCCCGCACCGATCGGTGCATCGATATCTCGTCGGAGCAGGCGATGTTCATGCCGTACTCCATCTCGGAGGCGTCCGACATGTGCTTCTTGTCGGGCGACAGGCTGTGGGCCTCTCCGTTCTCGCCGGGTCCGCTACGTGGCTTCACATCTTTTGGCTCGAAGTTGCCCAGACCTGAGAAATGCAAAAATGGTATTTGCATAAGTGAAGTGGCGAATGCAAAGGCGTGTGCAAGTCCAGAACAGATGTATAAATATTGCCCTAGCCATTGTACGCTCTTTCAGGAGGTAATTCTAGACCTATCAATTAGAGGCGATGAGTATTTCTTGATCTGAATTTTTCTGGGTCACCTAAATGTTTAATATTTTGACCAAAAAATTACATGAAAATAACATAAGATCAAAATTTAAGGAGATGTTTAAAATAAATTAGTTAATATTTTTTATACATTTAAAATAGGAAGTTTCAGAGAAATATGACAGGTTTTTTTGATGGTTGGCTAGTAAGTAAGCAATGTGCTCTGGAAATGACTGTTCCTCTCACTCTTTCTGGAATTAATAGGGCTATTACAAAGCCGGTTTGGAAGAATGTATAATAGAATTGGGTAAATATTTCCGATTGGTTCGATAGGGAGCTCTGGAATTGACTGTACTATGGAGTTTACAGGGTAATTTTCTGTCCTTCGAGAAAGTAATGAAAGCGGCTTTAAAGAATATTGAATATTTTCAATGATAAAGAGCAGAAATTTGGAAATGTCTGTTTAAAAGTATCTAATGCTTTGGTTAACCAATAGAGCCGGTTTTAAATGTTAAAGGTTACAATTTAGTTGATATTTAAGATGTTTCGTATGATCATGTAAGGAATTATCTATATGGCCTAGTGAACACCATTATCACAGATTATAGAACTTAGGTTTTCGGAGGTATAATTATACAATTTACAAGTAGTTAAAGATTTCTAATTTTTTTTAATCTGTTTTAAGGTTATCCTGTTCTATATATCTAACAAATAGGGATTAAGAAAAAATAAAAAAGTTTTAGTGATAAATGCTATATACCACTAAAAACTTTTTTAGAAAGGACTGTGTTTTATCCTTTATCCTGTTCCAAAATCTTAAGATACATTAGAACCTATGCATAGGACAATATGAAACTTGTTCTAAGAACGATTGTATCCTGGATCCTCCTCCCCATCCCACTTACCCTCGACCAGCTTGGGCACCTCCCTTGGTCGCCCCTCCAGCCGCTGGTGGGCGAACTTGGGGCCGCCGAAGCGCGTGTGGTACGCCTCCTGGACCCGCTTGTGGTGATCGCTCCAGTTGGCCAGCAGATAGAGCAGCGGCAGCAGCACCAGGAGGCACAAAGCCAGCCGGCAGATCCGACCGCTGCGGATGGTGCTCACGCGCATCTCGAAGCTGCTCCAGTTAACCAGTTCCCCAATCTGTTGACGTGTCTAGGTGGCCACAAACAGAACAAGAAGAAGAGGAGGAGGAGGAGAAGAAGAGGCGGCCAGAAAGCAGAACAAAAGAACCACTTTCGTCGCTCGGAGATGCCGACGAAGATCAAAGGCGCCCGGCCAGAAACGAAAATCGAAACCCAACTGGAGTCCAGCAGCTCGTCCGCTGTGGGGAATGTGTGGCCGCTCGATCGTGGAGTGTGTAGCAACTGGCCGGCGAAGAAGCGCCGCTGGCACACAGAACAAATTGCGAGTGCAGGTGCACGAATATTCGCGGTGCAAACGTAAACAACAAAAAATGGTCGAATGTTCAACTGGTAAGAACGCGTTTTGAGGTTTTTTCGCGCAGGCGTTAGGCCAGAAATAGGTGCAAACAGCGATAGGCGATAGCTTGAATGGGTTATCGTGAAAATATGTATGTAAAATATGTAAAATTGGGTTATTAAGCTTAGGTGTAAGTTTAGGCCAAGGCTTGCTGTTGCAGGGAAGCTAAACCTTTTAATTTGGTGAGTTTTCCAAGGCTTAACTTCCATGTTCTCAGCGCTGCGCAAATGTAAATTACCGTATCTAATCGCTGTTATCGATAGCTGGGGCAATCGATAAAAGTATTGTACAATTGGTGGGCGCAATTTAAGTTAAAACTTTTATTTAAATGGAATCTTCGTCGCGCCAATTGCACTCCGCTGTTTTTGGAATATGCGGCTTCGAGGCGGAGACCCTGGTGGAGATCTCTGGTCCGGGGGACAGCGGCAAGAGCCTGGTGCTCCAGCAGCTGATGGCCCACTGTTTGGCGCCCTACGAATTCGGTGGCCGCCAGTGGAGCGTCCTCCTGATCAGCCTGAGTCACAAAATCACCCGCGAGTCCCTGACCAGGTGCCTCAAAGCGGAGCTCCAAGCGGCCGAGGAGGAGAAGCCGCCGGAGGATGAGGAGCAGCTGGCCAGGATTGCCGCCGATTGCTTGAAACGCGTGCGATTCCTCAACTGTTTCACCGCCGACGACGTGTCCACGGCCCTCATCGATGCCCGCTATGCGATCGTCAATGATCCCGGCATCCAGCTGATTGCCCTCGACACCCTCAGCGAATTCTACTGGCTGGACTTCCCGAAGCGGACCCACAAGTTGTCCAAGTTCCGCCACTACCGGCTGTGGCAGGCGCGTCTGGAGAAGCTCTGCCAGGAGGCCATCGTCTGCGGCATGTACACCGTGGACGAGGGTTACCTGGAGAACCGCCATGGCGAACAGCTGCCGGCGGTCGGGATAAGCTACCCGGTCAGGATGCAGAAGATTTTGGGGAGGCTCACCCTGAACGGATTGCCACTGGCCTTTGCAAACGGCGGAGTTCATCTAGGCGATGGCTAACAAGTAAGAGGATCATAGTCACTAACAATCATTAAATAACGAATATACCTAAGAAAACTATCAATTACAACGATATATACATAATTTTAAAATAAATCATCCATCTATAAGGCTAAAAAACGCTCAGGAACTCCTAAAATTATCATGAACATAAGGGGATTATGATGTTTAATCACTTACAATCATTAAGTAACGATGATAACTTAGGCAACTTTGAAAATAACTAACAATTACAACGATACATGCATTATTTTAAAGGAAGTCATCCATCTATAAGGTCAAAGAAAGCTTAGGAACTCCGAAAACTATCGTGAACATAAGAGGATTATAATATTTCATGACTTACAATCATTAAGTAACGATGATACCTAAGGTAACTCAAAAGATAACTAATAATTACAACGATGAAATCAATTAATAAAAAAATAATTAAAAGAAATCATCATTTATAAGGTCAAAGAAAGCTCAGGAACCCCTAAAACTATCATGAACATAAGAGGATCATGATGTTTAATCACTAACAATCATTAACTAACGAAGATAAGTAAGATAACTCAGAAGATAACATACAATTACAACGATACATAAATTATTTTAGAAGAAATCATCCATCTATAAGATCAAAAAAAGCTCAGGAACTCCTAGAACTATCATGAACATTAGGGGATCATGATGTTTAATCACTAACAATCATTAACTAATGATAACTAAGATAACACAGAAGATAACTTACAATTACAACGATACATACATTATTTTAAAAAAAGTCATCCATCTATAAAGTCAAAAGAAAGCTCAGGAACTCCTAAAACTATTTAAGAACTGTCAGTAAGCCATTGTATGTGTGTACTCGATATAATCTGAAGATAAGAACTGTTTATATCTATTAAGAAATATCTTTTTTTATAATTTTCTTGAAATAATTAAGAATTTTGAAATAAAAGGTTCCTAAAAATATCACGAACTAAAGAAATGTGATGTTCAAAGCAAAAAAATCCTTAGAAAATAGTATATTTTAAAAAAACTTAAGTTTATTTAGTCAATTATAAAGATTCCATAAAGTTGTTATCCATAGAAGCTAAATAACTCTCGAAAACCATTAAAGCTAAAGAAAGAAACGTCCCGCTTTTATGACTTATTCCATTCAGTAATATATTTAATATTATATATCAGTAATATTATCTTAATTAAAAAAAATACAACAGTTCTTTAAAATTGTGTTGAAACCTTCACTATTTTCTTTTTTGTTTTTAAGAAGGCCAACCCTACCAGAATTATACTTAGAACTAATGATTTCTAAAAGCTATACATAAGTAAGGTGGTTTTGTTTAGCAGTGTTTTTTTTCATTTTTCGTTTCTTAGCATTTAATTTGAAGAAGCAATATGTCGTTTTGCAATTTAAAAAGGGGGGCTCTTATTTAGCTGTCGAATTTATGTGGGTAGTGCTTAGAAAGCCGGTAAACTAGTAAATTAGTACAAATTATTAGGTAGAATCATATTAATTTAAATGTAATTTCAATAAATAATTATTTTGTTTTAAATACGATTATTTTCCTTTCATGGCTTAGTCACAAACATTAAGACATTTGAATTTCAACGCGATCCTACGCCTACGTGTCGCGCCCAAGAACTCTACTCTATTTACATGTGTGTTCCTCGAGCACCTTCGTGCAGACCTCGCACTTGACCTGGCAGCACCAGTGGAATTTGCAGTTGCAACGCTCGTTAACGACAATGTTTTTCGTATTATAGCCCCGGCCGCAGCAGAGGATGGCGCAGCTCTCCAGGCCGGACGAGTTCTTGTGGCACACCCGGCCGTGTGTGCCCGGCCAGTGGAGCGCGTGGCTGTTGCGACACCAGTCGGGGCTCTCGTCCAGGTAGATCAGATCGTGGGCCGTCGGCACCTTGAATTGCAAGTCCTTGATCTGCAGCCGTCCGCGCTTGTTGATCTTCACCTTGGTGGCGCCCTCGTACTTCTCGCGCAGATAGTCGCCGATCTCGCGGATCGAGGACAACTGCTGCCAGCAGGTGATCAAGCTGCACGATCCGGAAACTCCATGGCACTTGCACGTGATCCTGGCCTTCTTGATCACCGCCCGTCGGCCGGCCTCGTTGTTGTGCAAGTTCATCAGGCTCCTGGCCTTCGCCGTGGCCGAGCTGCGCGGCAGCAGGCCATCCTTGTAGCTCTCCTTGATGCCATTCCGCGGATAGGCGGGCGCATCCGCCGCCGCTCGCTGATTTTTCCGCTTCTTCTTGCGCGGTGGCTGCTGCTGCTGCTGCTCCTGCTGATTGCTTTTAAAGAACTTGGTGTTGACAATCTCCTGCTTGATCTTCTCCTGCAGCTTGATCATCTCCTGCTCGTCAATCTTGGAGGTCAGTATCTCCTTGGTGATGCGCTGCTCCAGCTCCAGCAGATGCTGATCGAAGTTCTCCTCGGTTTTGCGACCATTCGTCTCACTTTTGTTACTGCTAAAGGCATTCGTATCATCCGAATGCATGCGATTCTTGATCTCCTCGCGTTTTCTCTTCACGCCGCGCGTCTCGCGGTTTGTTTCCTTCTCCCGCGAGTCAATAAAGTCGGTGGCGAACTTGTAGGCAAACTCCAGATTGTCGCCGCAGCCGCCCCACTTCCAGTCGTCGTGCAGCTGCTTGGGCCGCGATCCCCGCGAGCAGCTGCAGCTGGCCAGCTGCCCGTCGCGACAGGCGCGCGCAATGAAGCTGGTGACCGTGGCGGCTGCGAGGGCATGGATAAAAGCCATCTCCGGTGCGGCCAGGCTGGTCATCGGTCCAAAGACCGTCTCATCGTTCGTCGTGCTGCAGTTCCAGCGGCGATGCTTGAACTGGAACTGGCACTCCTGGATGGCCGCCCGGGCGCCGCGACTGATGGCCGGCATCACGCTGGTGTGCTTGACGCACTGCTTCTTCTGGCTGCTGCTCAGACCGATGGCGCTGTAGCAGTTGCTGGGATTCAGGTCGATGGTCTCCGAGTAGGCGTCGCTGGTGGTGGAGGAGGTGTCATTGGCCTGCTCCTCCATATTCTTGATGAGAAACTCCCTCTCGCTGGCCGAGGCCATCACCACGTCGTGCTTGAAGTAATCCGCCGCGGTTGTGTGGTTCTCCGCGCTCACTTTTATATAGTCCGGCATGAGCTTCCTGCTCGGCTGGGAGCGGGCCACGCGCGTCAGCAGCTCGCCGCCATCGGAGGAGGAGGATCCCTCGGAGGAGACCTTGAACGAGTCCGGGATCTCAATGGAGACGGCAAAGCGACGGGTATTGTTGATCGTCTGGATGATGGGCTCGAAGCGGGGCTGCATGAACTGCGACTGGCCGCGGAACCACTCGTCGCGCTCCCGCTGCCGCTGCTGCTCCTCCCGCCGCCGCTGGCGGATGCACTTGGGCGACTCGGGATTCCGCAGGCAGGGCGGACGCTTCGTGGTGCGCGAGGTGCCCGCCTTGCTGGGCTGCAGGGGCTCCGGAGTGGGCTCGCTGGCCAGCGATTCGTTGAGCAGTATCACCTGCGGTTCGCTGGCGCTCTTGGGGATTCCCGGCTGGACTCCCGGCTGGGCATTCGAGGTGGCTGTCTCTGTTGGTTTAAGAAAGCTTTGATTAGTGGCCAGCTCCTCGTTCTGATAGTAACCACCAATGGCTGCTCCGGCGGCGTCCAGCGGAGGCACCTTCGGCGTGGGCGGTGCTATGGGCGCCGAGTACTGATGGACGGGCCGCTGGGGACGCTTCCCGTTCGCCGGCTTGTCCTTCTGCAGGCTGGGGAACTTGACGAACTTGGACTCGAAGTTCGAGTTGCTCTTGGTCATGTTGTGCAGGAAGAGGATGTGCTTCTTCAGGTCGTCGATATTGGAGGTGGGATCGCCTTCCACCTGGGCCAGGGGCGACGGAGGAGGCACCACCGTTGTGTGGCCAGCGGCGGAGGAGGCCGGAACTGGTGTGGTGATGGCCCAGCGGGGATCGGGCGAGATATTCTTCAGGGCCATCGGCACTATAAACTTTCGATCCTCGTCGGTCAAGCTGGCCGGCAGCCCGTTCTCGTCGGTGTCCTCGTCCAGGAGGATGATCTGCTTCTGGTCCATCTCCTCCTGGATGGGATGGATGTGGGAGCGGGAAAAGCTGCTACCGCTGCTATTCTGCGAATCGAAGACCAGTCGCTTGGTGAGATCGGCCTTCACGAAGCCAGTCGCCGAGTCCCGCAGGTCCACCGGCTTGATGAACGTGCCCAGCTTGCGGAGACCCTCCTGATGCATATTGGCCTGCTCGTCCTTGGTCATGTTGAGCGGTATGCTCGAGTTGGCCAGCTGCTCCTCCTGCGCCCCGAACTCGATGAAGGGGGACTTGAGGCCGAGGTATATCCAGGTCGGCACTCCTTGCAGCCCAACTGTGGCATATGCACTCCGTCGCGGTCCCAAGTGCAACATACACAGTGCGCGCAGGAGCCACAGTAGAAAGTGCCTTCTTGTGAAGCAAATCATCGCGTGGCTCGTTATATATACTATTGCTATAATATCTATAAATACTAATTATTACAACTATCCTATCCCTCGGGAGTGGGGATATTCGGGATATTTAGGGATCCGATGTTACGATGTTACGATGTTACGATTTTAGGATGCGAATGAAAAATGTCTTTCGATAACACAATAAAAAATCGATTCGATTGACTGATACTCGGGATACAATTGAACAATTTCAAGTCCACGAATCCGAATCCGAATCTGTTGTAAATATTGTGATTAGCTGCTCGCCATAGGCTTCCAGTTCGTGCGCTCGCTGAGAATTTGTAAAATAACAAAATGAGAACTGGATTTGTGCATAGTATGTATGTATACAATCAACCACATCCACAACCGCATCATGCACGAACGAAACTCGCACTCGCGACGAAGTAATCCACCCTCAACGACAAATTGTAAACAACTGAGCTGCGCCACTGCTACTATTGCTGCTACTGGGCTGCTGAAGAACTCGTTCGGTTCGGCATTTAAGTCTTTCGTGGTAACAAACGCAGTCGAAAATGGAAATGAAAATGTTGCGCTCACCATCATCAGCAAAGCAGCAAACCAGCAAACCAGCAACCACCGGACCCACCACCACTCACACTCCACATCCACATCCACATCCATCGTAGTCGTTTTTGTACACCACATTTTCTTTTCTTTTCATACCACACCATACACCAAACCCATACGATACAATCTAGGATGTTGTGCAACATGTTGCAGACGACCCGTGACTTTTGGAGTCACGACCCCTCTATATAAGAAAATATCTACAAAATATAATAATCTATGGCTCACTTCGTTTAAGAGTCCTTAGAGAGGTACGTTTTATATTCAGTTTATATTCTAAGTAACGTATAGTTTTTATAGTTTATATAGTTTTACCCCTAACTATAGGATTTCTTTTCAACTGATCCAAGTACCGAAATGATTCATAGGTAATAGGTATCTCACCTAAAGGGGTATAGAATTCACCACAGCCTCTTCCTAATAATTTTGCATATTTTTATTTAAAAATATCTAGAACATAAAGTAGTCCATGATTAATTTGTTTTAGGAGTCCTTAAAAACGTATCTTTAAGTACAATTTTATATCCTTTTTATTTTACCAACGTTAAAAACTAAATTGTTATTTTCTTCTTCTTTCTTTTCACCTGTTCTAGGTTCCGAAATGGTTATTCACCTCTTTTTTCGGAGGTTTCTCGGAGTTCTATTCCAACCATCAATAGAAATTTCAATCGTCTATCGTTAGTATAGGTTTCTGTTCTATAGATATCTTTTATTATGTGTATTACATGAATTTTTTAAATTTTAAATTAACAAAAAACTAACAACCACATACAGCATCAAAAACGCAAATTCATTTATTTGGCTACTTTGGGCACTCACAGCCTGCTGTTATTTACATAAAAAGAATTTTCGAAGACACTCTATTCGAAATACTGGCAATAATTATTTACAGGGCTCCCACTTGCAACTTAAGAACTAGGTTAAATAAATAAAAGTGAAGGAATCACATGGGGCAATCGCAATCTAATGCTGCATCTTGTTGGTTCTGCTCAAGGTAAGAGCACTGCCGATGCGACGGCGATCGTAGAAGGGCTCCGGCTGCTCCAGCGCCCCGATGGCGGTGACTGCGGCGAAACTGGAACCGGCGGGCTCCTCGTAGAGGACATGACCCACCTGCTGCAGATACGAGGTAACGCTGCTGTCCACCTCGTGCTCATAGCTCACGCGCATGGGAGCCAACTGATGGTGCAGGCGGCCATTGTTCACCGCCGCGGTGAGGGTTTCGCCACGTAACAGGTACTTCATAATCACCTGAAAGGTTAAAAACCCCATATGTTACACAAAACCATCATATTTACAGGGGCCAATCTACGAAGTACTCACGGCTGCCACACTGCTGGTGATGCGAGTGCCACCTGCTGCTCCGACTAGCAGACGCACATTGCCATCCTTGTCCACAATGATGCAGGGACTCATCGAGGACATGGGTCGCTTGCCGGGATAAATGTAGTTGGCCGGCGAGGCGGGCACCCCGAAGCCATTGATCACGCCCGGAGTGGAGAAGTCGTCCATCTCGTCGTTCAGAATGATGCCAGTCTGGGTGGAGGCCACCTTGGCGCCAAAGCTGGGAAAAGTAAGTACATCAGTACCATACACATGGCAAATTTTCAAACAAATAACAACATAACCTAACAAATTTAGCACCGCGAATTCTTAAGCATACTTTTTGGTATATTTGTGGTATTTTAAAAGAGTATTTAAGGTCTTGTAAGCCCAGTAATAAATTCATTATTCAACATATTGAAATATCCTACACTATTACACAACTGAAACGTGGACGATATTTAATTGAATACCCTAATTAAAGGTAAATAATTGCTTCTTCGTTGAAAATCAACAACTTCGTTGTATGAAAACCACACTTGATTTCTCCAGCAAGGTGAAAATCCAGAATTTCCCCTGTTTTTCAAATGTTCAATCGAACCTTAAATTCAAAAGCATGGTGAAAAATGGAGAATGTTAATATATGTATGTGCGTACGTATGTCTGAGCGCCGCTCACTTGCACTGTTTTGCTTTTGTGAGAGCACACTCTCACCACTGTTGCTGTTGCCTCGCACATGTTGGGTATGGTGAGAAATGTCATTTAGCTTCCAACATGGCTCTCTGCAGAGGTTGCGCATAGGTTCGGGTTCGGTCTGACCAAATGGTGTCTTTACACCGGGAAAAACTGATGTGATAGTGTGATCTACTTATGTTTTTCCCTAACTAACTATTTGACCAATCCACATACCCTAATGATTTCTCAACAAGTGCTTATGAGACATGGACATTTTAAAAAATATTCAAATTATGCACAGCATTTACTTAGAATGTTTAAAAATATTTTTCAGAGTAATGGGATTATAAAAAAAATTGTTATAATATTCTTGCTTGACATTTTAAAGTTTGGGACTTTTAGAAATAACACAAATTTACTATACTTATATTAAGGAATCATTTTAAATTTTATATATATTTTATATATTTATATAGAAGTATATAAAGTATAGTAAAGGGATTATTAAAAAAACATTTTATAATATTCTTGCTTTACTAGACTTCTACGTTGTAGGTCAGTCCAAAAAAAAGGAAAAGTTAGTAAGTTAGTTAGTTAAAAGAAAAAAGTTTTTACGAACAGCTAGATAAGAATTTAAAAATATATGATTAGCATCTTTTTCTATTTTTATGCCCCAAAATTCAAGCCTATAAACATTTAATTAACCTGCCAATATTTATGGTCTGATTTTTAAATCTTATAAATTTAAATAAAAAATAATAATAATAAAAATCTCTGCACTCACTAGTTATTGATGGTGCTGGTGATGGAAACGGCATCGCCATTGGTGGCCAGGACGTTCATGTGGGCGGTGCCGTGGTCCTCCTCGACGGTGAAGTTGGCGCCATAGTAATCGTAGTCCTGCGACGTCCTGTCGTCGTGGATCAGCTTGCGGACGCTCTCGAGGAACTCCGGCTGCAGCATCTGCTCCAAGGTGGCGTTGATGGAGGCGGCGTTCACGGGATCGGCGTACAGATCGCCCAGATTGGTGCGCTGCCCGTAGGCATGCTTGAAGGCCTCGACGGCCCGCTGCCAGTAGATCGTTTCGCTGTCGATATTCAGCTCGGCCATCAGGTTCAGGATGAAGGCCAAAACCGGTCCGCTGCTGGGCATCGGAGTGGAGTACATGGTGTAGCTGCCACTCACATGGGCCGCCACATGACCGTCGCTGTCCCAGCGAACCTTGAAGTCGCGCAGATCCTGCTCGGTGATGATGCCGCCCAGACTCTGGATATCCTCGACGAACTTGCGACCCGTCTCGCCGCCATCGTAGAACTCCTTTGCGCCGTTCTCGGCGATCCGCTCCAGGGTGTCCGCCAAAGCGGGACGCTTCATGAAGTCGCCCTCGAGGAAGGGCTGCTGGGTGGCATTGAGGAAGACCGAGGACAGGCCGGGATCCGCCCGGATGTTCTCCAACTTCTGCTGGATGGCCGAGGCCAAATAGCGCGACACCACGTGACCCTCGCGGGCCAACTTAATGGCCGGCTGGAAGAGGCGTTTCCACGGCAGGATGCCATACCTACGATGCATCTCCCAGTAGCCCAGAATCTCGCCAGGAACCGCGCCCGCCTTGGCGCCCGTAATCTCCGACTGACCCACGAACATGTCCTTGTGCGCAGCCGCCGGTGCCGATTCCCTGGCTATCAAAGTCTCAATCTTCCGGGTACTCCTCGTATAAATGGTGGCCACGAAGCCACCGCCAATGCCCATGGAATGGGGCAGCAGCAGACCCTCGCAGAGGAGCGTGGCTATGGAGGCGTCCACGGCGGAGCCACCGTCGGTTAAAACTTCACCGCCCACGGCGGCGCATCCGATGCCATTCGAGACGACTGCTCCGGCTATGTGGAAGCCCGCATCGCGGCTCCGCAGACCGAAGACCAGGCCCAAGGTCAGGGCGGTCACCATCAGAGCGGCCAGCAGGAGCCATAGAAAGAGCTTCTTGCTCAGCACGAACCTGAAAGGGAGAGGGGAATATTATATCTTGATCTACCGATCTTCAGACCCTCGAGACTGAAGAGCTCGAGGAGCTGGTGGAGGACCGATTAGCTTTGATTTCAACGCCGCTATCGGAGGAACTCGACCGAAACCGAACCGCCGAGTCATTACCCTGATACCCTGCTATATAATTTATATACAAATATCTTATAGAATTCGTAACTCTTTTAATAGAGCAAACAAACTAAGGTGGGATATTCCATGAAAGTAAAAGGTAGTGTGAGTACTACTATCATCTTTGAGACCTCAGTGCTAACTTTATAGTCTCCATATTTAGAAATTTTGTCAATTTTAGTTTTATTGTTTTTATAACGTTAAAAAATTTGATGTTCATAAAAAAACATCAAAATAAGAATAGATGTTTTTTTCAAAGCTTACTATGGAATTGAAAAAATTTAGATAATTATCTAGAAAGTTATATCTGTTATATAAATAGATTAACCGTTCATAACTTTTTAAAAGAGCAAACAAACAGAGGTGATATATTCCATGAAAGTCATTTAAAAATTTTTAGAATTTAAATTTTCATATTTTTATTACGTTAAAAAAATATCTAGAAATTGGAAAAATGTAAAAAAATTTCCCTGCCTTGATTATTTAAAAAGTTATAAAGATTATATAAGGAGAAATCTGTAAGCCCGACTTATTTTCGTTACGATCCCTAAAGTAAACAAAAGAGTGTATATTAGATCTATAGATTAACCTTTCAGGTGCCCAATTGATAGGACTCTAATCTATGACCATTAAGACCCGGTTAAATCAAATTAGCCGAATCATTGCGTTCGATCTATCTAGAAAGCAGGTGAATGAAAACAAAACAACTATCTCAAGATTCAATCGTAACCAGTAGCCCACCCATTATAAAGCCCTATATCTCTGCTCTCTGGAGTGTCCCATGACAAGGGGAAATTTCTGTGTTCTGTTTTCTGTTTCTGATGACCATAGCTGGTCACGACCACGTACCGGATGAGTCCGGACATACCTTCTGGCCGAGCAAGAAAGAGGGTGCCCGGGCTTATCTCTATTGATTCGATAACAACCGCCCCGTTCCGCACGCATGTCCATAAAAATGCCAACCCCGCAGATCGTAAAACTCAAGCGCTATTAACAAGCAATTTTCTATAATTAACGTAGATTTCTTGGGGGGGAAAGTCGCAAGCACTTGGGATTTAGTGCCTGTCACGGCCGAAAGAACGCGTCCTAGCCAAAAGCGCGATACGGGATCCCAAATATTTCAATTTGATACGATCGATTATCGCGGCCCGTCTGCAGATTAAGATCCTCGAAAAGGGGCACTTTCCCAACGATTTTCGCCCAATCATCCAAGGCGGATCGATCTGCATATTATACGGTAGATCGATAAGATTCGGTTCATTCAGGTTCTCCTGACTGCCCTTACGATACGCTAAACGCTATGCGCCATATAAAACCACTAGTTTTTATGGCTCTTTCGGTAGCACTCTAAGGCCTCCAATTTTGATCGGGCGCCGCCAAACAGGTGCTATAACTATTGATTGGTCCTGCGATAAGCGGCAGGCGGTCGGGATTAAAGCCCCTTTATCCGTCTTTATCAAGGTGGGCTCTTTGGAATGCCAAAGTCGAGAAATTGTATAAATTTATTAACCAAAATTCCTAAATATTATCAAAGAGTTGGGTCCACAAAAAGAGTAATGAGTGTGCACTTGATTGTGAAGCGATCTTCAAACAACTGATAAAAAGTGATCAAACTGTTTACGGACCTCAAGTGGGTACCGAGTGATATGACATTACCTATGTATTCAAGAAAGTAGGAGCTACACATGTGATCTCCGGTGGTATGCGGAATAGCAACATCTTTTAATTACCGAATCTATCGGTGTACAGATCTCAGGTACAACAGGTAGACACAGTGCCAATCACAAACTAGGGAACTAAGTATAAAAACACATTTCTATTTATCAGTCTCCCTGGTACACAATATATGCCCCGTCATCGAAATCAAATCGTGTCTGCCGAAGATAAGTTAGTGACGTTTTTAGCGGGAGGAACGAAAGTCATCCTTGGCCGATTGGCGATAGGGTATTTGATATTTGGAGAACCCTATACGGTTCGGAATATAAATATATACTGTATTCCCACCCGATAATTGCGGTTTCCATGAATTATGCAAATGGAACTTGGCGGTTTTGTTGTATGAAAACCAGTTTCTCCGCGCTCAGCCAACAAAATTAGCTGGCAAATCAATCGGCTAATTGTCGCATTTCAATGGCAGTATTCCTCTATTGGGGGTCGGGGTCCCCCTAAATTCCATTGGCCAGTGTTATCCCAATCTTATCGCGTGATATCCATAAAAGTCCATAAAAACAGAGCCTGTCAATGATCCCTTGCTGAATGAATGCTCTTAAAGAATTCCCGTGTGCCATAAACTTCGTTCCTATTATTATCGCCATATCTCAGTTATGTACTATATCTTATGGGCCGTCGTAAAGCGGGGCAATCAAGCGCTAAATTCGCTAATTGCCGACTTTCGACAAGTTTGATAAACTGTGAAGTCAGTTATACGAACTGAACTTGTTGTGCAGAACTCTAAAAACCGAACTCGTATACCTCGATGGAAATGACGCATTTTGGGTCCTGAGATTAGTCTGCCACAGTGGCAGTCGCATAATTAGCAATCTGACCATAAATAACATACCATCCACACGCCAAAAATGATATCTTATTGACCGAAAAGCCACTACTATAAATTATTTGATGATATCGTGCGAAAAGGCTTTCAATTACGCTGCTAATAGTCATTTATTGATTTATCTTATCTGTCACACGATCTGGGGGTTTCTTACTTCTTACCGAGTGTTAGAAATCTACTGACTTGCGAAAAAAACAGAAACAATGGGGCAACTAAATTACAGGGGAACCCAGATAAAAACTCAGTGCTTCAGCTTGCTATTTTCAGGAGCAATTAATGTCAATGGATATTTACACAAAAGTGGAACCGTGGTAATTTATCGCCTCTTAGGTAAAAACGTGTAAACTTTTTTAAATTTACTTACTGGCGGAACTAAAAATGATTGAATATAATTTCTCTATTTATCGGAAACCTTTTTTTGTAGTTTTTCAGCGAGCCCCTAGTTTTCTGACCGCTTTTGTATATCCAAAGGCAAAATAATGTTTTGATATTTGCACAGGTGAAATGTGAATTGTCACAGTTGCTGATTTGACGGATTTTAATTGCGATTTCAAGGTCCAACTAGCATTTGATATTGATTTATAGTTGCTCTTCAATAAATTCGATTTTCTGACTCGAACTGAGAAATTATGGTTCAAAGATCACTTGGTAGACTTGAGCTTAGAATGATATTTAGATATTTAGTAATAGATTGTTAAAAATGTTTGATTACTAATTTTAAAATTTATTTCGTTCCGAAACCGACTATTTCTTTTTATTTTAAAGCTAGGATTGTACTGAGTTCGACTTATAGAAGCCCGACTGTATATGCATTATATCTCCCGTTGTTTCTGACCATTCTTACCTCATTTTACGTGATCGATGGGTCCAATATTTACAGCGATATAATATTTAAGAGCGAAACCGGCAAAAGTTAGTTGGAAGCCTTGGCCACAAAACACAGAAACACAGAAAAACAAAGACTCGGAAAGCACGGAAAAAAATATGAACAATAGGGGGTAGAGATGTGCTCTGGGTTTTGGGGTTCCAAATCCAATACTGTTCCGTTCGAGTCCACAAGCTCCCGCCTGCGAGCACCTGTTGCGATCGACTGATGGGTCTGATCCGCCCGAGCAGCCGCACATCGCCTCTCTTTCGATGCTAACTGTATTCCCTGCACACGACACGCCGTCGAAAGAGCGAAAGAGATAGCGCTGGAACGGCGGTGCGAGCGGGAGAGCGAGATCGAAATCGAAATCGAGCGAGCGATCGGCTTTGAGCTTGACCATGGTACAACTATACAAGGTAGTCTCGTCGGCAAAATGTAGTCCGTTAACGATACTGACAGTCGTGCGAGTAAAAGGGACAGCGATATCGCTCAAGCACGTTAACGGACTAAAGGCATTTTTCCACTATGCGGTTTTTTCGGTATTTTTGTGTATTTTCGATTGGCAACGCGATAGGCGGACGTGAGGTGTTTCCATTGGCAAACGCGTCTGAAAACAGCTGTTGTGCTATTGTCATTTGCGAGCTGAAGTAAACAATGGATTTAAATAATTTGTTATTGATAATTGTAATCGCAGAACAGCATTTGAACGTGGAAACATTGCTGCAATGATGAAAGCAACAACATCCCACGTTACGCTGCTTGAGCATTTATTACGGCAGAAAGCAAAAGGATCTGCTGCAGAAGGCGTTCATATATATAGATCTGAACAGTCATTTAATTAATTCTTTGACACGACCCGCGACAGCAGTAGCTTCTGCGGCGGCACGTCACTGAACAGAATCTGATACGGGGCAGAAATCCTACAAGAACATTGTGCGCAAGCATGAGGGAGATGTGCCCTTTTCCAGCAGTCGCCTGTCAACGTGTGTCATTTGAATATGGAATGGCCATCTACGGTCTAACCAGGAGGTCGCCTTAATGGACGAATGGCGCACGCGAAGCAAACGTCAAGATCATGGAGACGGGAAAGCCCATGTGGCTGCGCTGCAATGACCAATATTTCGCTTCCGATCCTTTCTAGCCGAGCCATTCCATTGGATAAACGAACTGCTACTGCTCTTTATGCGCTTGGATCATCCTCGGAATTCTGAACTATTGCCAGATCATTTGGCATATATCATATATCAAATACCAATCTGTACGAAATAAAGTTCATGTAAATATCAACAATAAATGGTTTTAATATTTCCCGCTTCTTATCAGCCTCTTATCAGTTTCGGGTCCAGAAAAATGTTCATGCCTGGTTAATACTGCTTAAATATACCACAAATTTCACTTTCCAGCCCTGTAACGCGACAAATTTCCACCCTCCCCTCCTCACCCCTCGCCTACAAGTTTTGTATGGGATTTGGGCGCGTTAAACGGTAAATGGATGCAAACGCGACGCGTCCATAATGAGCAGAGGGCATAATAAAAGCCGAACGGTTAGGCAGCCGACGAGACTACCTTCTATAATTGTACCATGAGCTTGACCGCCACAGCTCGGCAAATATCGCCGATGACGCAACGGTCGTGCGTGATTTGGCATTGAGAATGGAGAAAAACACATATCGATACACAGATATCGTTTCGATTTCAAAAGCTTTATGTGTAACTTTAAAAAACATCTTTTAATTAGAGTATAATTTAAAGTTTGAATAATTTTACAATTATTTAAAAAACCTAATTTTCTGAATTTTAATTACATACATTTTTAAATCGCTTTTCCGATATTATTTCTATATAAAGCCTAGTACTCAGTACGACGAAAACTGCTAGCTAAGCATAGGAGTAAGCGAGAGGCAAATAGGTAGCTAAAGCCCTTAGCCGGGGACTTTTTCCCACCTCGGTACTCAGTTGAGCTAAGGAAATAGTAAGAAAATACCACTAAAATACTAGATTTAGCGGATGAATTCTGATGAACGCCTTTAGCCGCGGCCCAAAGAATAAAAAATTTGATCTTTGGCTGTGTTTGTGCAGAAGCGGCGTGCCAATAACATATTATAAATAGAATGAAAACCCCAAAAACCAATGGAAAACTGCCTGTAGGAGTTGCAGCAATACATATCCTCATTCCAACAGCAAATTTAAAGCTTGAGACCTAGGTCGGCTAATCATTTTGTAATATTTCAAAATTGGCGCCAGTTAATTGGCTTGCTGAGAGTAAGACCATTGCACATGCATTGCGGATGAACTCCGAAAACTTCGGTCACCCTAAAATATTAATATTTTTCGACTAGTAAAACTCTTAGCCGAACTGAGTACTAGGCTTAAGTAACTTTAAAAATGTGATCGATTTTATCGTGAAAGTTTGATATGATTATCAAAATAACAATAATTACTCATGTATAATTTGTAAAAAAATTTTATTTATTTATTTGCATAAAGATAACTTAAGATTAAAGTTATTAAGATAACAAATGGGAGTTTGCGTTCTTGAAAAATTCTTTGTAAAATTAAAAAAAAAACCGATGGTAACTTTAGTTCATGATGATTTTTTGATATTTATATCATTGTTATACCCGTTACTCGTAGAGTAAAAGGGTATATTGTATTCGTGCAAAAGTATGTAACAGGGAGAAGGAAGCGTTTCCGACCCCATAAAGTATATATATTCTTGATCAGGATCACTAGCCGAGTCGATCTAGCCATGTCCGTCTGTCCGTCTGTCCGTCTGTCCGTCTGTCTGTCCGTCTGTCCGTCTGTCCGTCTGTCTGTCTGTATGAACGCTGAGATCTCGGAAACTATAAAAGCTAGAGGATTGGCATTTTGCATGCAGATTTTAGGAGTTCCTACGCAGCGCAAGTTTGTTTCAAAATGGTGCCACGCCCCCTCTAACGCCCACAATCGCTTACATACGATTTTAAAAACTTTAATATTTTGGAAAAGTAAAAATGCAGTTTTATTGTGTTTATCAATACCTATCGAAATGTAGAAGAAATTTTTCAAATCGGACCATTCGTTAAAAAGTTATGCGTGATCAAAGTTTTCAATCTATATCTCCATCTCCCTCGCACTCCCTTTACCTGAGTAACGGGTATCTGATAGTCGGGGCACCCGACTATAACGTTCTCTCTTGTTTTTCTATATTTTCGTTAATACATCGGGGTCACCAAATACTACATTTAAGATAGTTTATATACATTTTTTTTCTTAGTTTGTATAAATTTTCAAAAAGGAATCTTACCATCGATTTTTAGTTTATATCATTAATTTTCGATATTTTTGTTAATACATCGGTGTCTCCAAATACTGCATTTAAGACTTATTCCACATTTAGTTTATGAATACATTTAATCATATTATTTTACTAGCGCGCACTTGTACTCATTCTACAAGCCATACAGACTACGTCAATGTTTTGGGGACTTTCAATTTTGGTACATAATGTGTCCATATAATTATTAATTGAGTGTGACTATTCAACGCCGGAGTGGTAGGGTCTTCAGTTTCTATCTGCTACCCTGTAATTTAATATGATTTTTCTTAAATATTTCTCTGGAAAGCAAGCGTTGGTTGTCTGTTGGGTATCGGGATCTGATCGAGATTATCGCCACCTCTCGTGCTCCGTGGACGTCTCCATGATGGTCTTCTGGATCTGGAGCTGCCGGTGCTTCATCGGCAGATGCTTGGTCATGGCGGAGATTCTAGCTTGATGGCGCTGGGAGTGATTGGACTGATGGGAGTGATGTGAGTGCGGGACGGCACGCTGGAAGCTGGGCAGCGGCGCCTTCTTCTCGTGGGCCAACTCGGTGAAGGCCAGCTTGCGGCGCTGCTGCGGGGATATCTTCTTGCAGTGGCACAGCTGGTGGATGTGCAGGGTGCGCTCCAGGTCGAAGCTGCGGTCGCAGAACTTGCACAGATTGGCGGCGGTCAGGGTGGTGCTGCTGTCCCTGGGTCGGCGTCCCCGGAAGCGGACCTTGAAGTCGTCGTCGTGGGTGCGCCGATGGGCGCCCAGCAGCGACCGGATGTGGAACTTGGCCCCGCAGACGCCGCACGAGTAGCTGGGCAGCCGATGATCCTGCGCGTAACTGTTCAGCGGCTTCAGCTGCAGCCTCCCGAAGTCCCCATCGGGATTCTCCTTTTCTCCCTCCTCCGGAAATCGTCCTGCTCCTGGCTTCCCAGTTCCGCTGGACGTTCGCTGGGCGGCCAAAAGGGCAGCCAGTTCCGCCGCCTCGGCCTCGTAATCCCGGGGCGTCAGGCCATTGCGACGAGGAGATTGAAGGAGTACTGTGGGGAAAAGTTAAGTTAGTTTGAATAGGAAAAAACTTAATCGATTTTCATAAGTATTTTAACTAACTAATCCCTAACGTAGACTTTTTACTATTACTATTACCCTTTTTTTTTTAATTTTCTTATTATATTTTTAGGTCTATATACCAAATTTGATGTCTCTAGCTTTAATAATTTCCAAGATCATAAAGGAAGGGAAACACTTAATCGATTTGTATTAGTATTTTAAATAACTAATCCCTAATGTAGGCTTGATAATCCTCGGATTCAGATCTATAAAGATAACTATATTTCAAAGAGTTTTCCAATTACAATACTCTTTTTTTTTTGGAATTTTCTTATTAAATTTCAACATTTACATTCTTTTTAAAATCCCTTTAAGTTATTTATAGGCCTGTATACCAAATTTGGTGTCTCTAGGTTTACTAATTCCCAAGATCATACAGGAAGTTTTCTTCCAACCATACCTTACCATAGTAGCCGCTGCATCTTCGATTTTAACTAACTAGTTCTTGACGTAGACCTAATAATCCTCGAATTCAGATCTTTAAAAATAACTAAATTTATAAAAGTTTTCTAAAAACAATACACTTTTTAAAATCTCTTTTAGGTATTTATAGGCCTGTATACCAAATTTGGTGTCTCTACACCCAAAAAAAACTCGATATGAATCGTAGGTCAATTTGACCTTTTTTAAGATCATTTTTAACTTGATATGGGGCCAGGTAAATGTGATATGTTCGAAATGTAAAAAATCTTATTTCTGACCAAAACGTACACTAGTGCGAGCGAGAAAACATGCTTTCGAAGTACGTCAGTTCGAATTTCGAATACGACTTTCTCGCTTCCACTCAAGTCATTTTGCTCGTCATATTGATTCTTGCGCTCTTTTTCGAAGTTAGAGAATCTCCGAGAGAGAGAATTCGGCAAAATGATATTATTTAATGTAAATTTATGAATATTTCAGGTAAAAACGATATGAGTAGGAATAACCAGAAAATTACCTGGACTTATCGATTTTACGGCGACGTGCTTTTTTTTGTGTGTAGGTTTACTAATTCCCAAGATCATACAGGAAGTTTTCTTTCAGCCATACCATACCATAGTAGCCGCTGCATCTTCGATTTTAACTTACTAGTTCCTGACGTAGACCTAATAATCCTCAGATTTAGATCTTTAAAAATAACTAAATTTCAAAAAGTTTTCTAAAAACAATACACTTTTTAAAATCTCTTTAAGGTATTAATAGGCCTGTATACCAAATTTGGTGTCTCTAGCTTTAATAACTCCCAAGATCCTATAGGATACTATCTTCCACCGTATATTCTTATACCATACCATTGTAGCCGCTGCGTCTTCGGTTTTCGTACTTGTAGGCTTTCTCCTGCAGCGTTTCCTCCTCGTCCTCGGACACTTCCTTGGGTGGCTTATGGGCAGGATGCTTTTTGCCATGTTTGCGTCGATGGACTCCCTGGGTTTTGGTGCCCCCTGATCCCGCTCCTTCGCCTCCTCCTCCTCCTCCTCCTCCTCCTCCTCCTCCTCCTCCGCCCGTGCTACGCTTCACCGGACGGGATGCGGTGGCCATGTTGGATTCGGTCAGGTAGATCAGCTTGCGCTCCACCGCCTTGCGGGCGTTCTCCACCTCCGACTCCACGAGATCCTGCGGCTGAGTTTTGGAGCGGATGACGTGGCGCTTGCCGCGCTTCACCTTTGTGGGCTTCTGAGATTTGTTCATCTCGTTTGTTATGTGTGTGTGTTTTGTTACGTAGCTCTCGTCAGTCGGTGTAAACGAATTCTGAGCTGGTAAGGTGGAATCCTTGATTGATATAAGCCCCATGGTGTGCTAGGAAAGTGCAATGTCAAGGAAACAAATCCATTACAATATAATATGTACCTATGTATATTATTTTATATTATTCAGATGGTCTGGCATATTATGTTTAAACAATTACAATTATAAATTATTTTTAAGGAATAATTATATTAGAAATATCACTGCTGGGGCCATTTTCATGTCCACATGTTAAATTTAAGGTACGGATTAAACCTTAGAAATGCATGGGAATTCAGAGTGTAGTGCAAACTTTTTTAATTTTTAAATTAAAATTTAAAAAATACGCAAATATATTGATTTTTATGAGGAAAATATAAATTTAATAACACACTTTAAATAAATTACCCAAATAAATTACCTTTAAATATCGCAAAAATATATGAATATTCAGTGACAAATCTAAATATCTAAATCTACCCTAAATTTTTTGTTCCATTATAATTTTTAAGAAAATAATATCGTTTTAATAATACATTTTAAAATTTAAATAAAATACCCAATATCTTAAAATATCACAAAAATATATAAATCTTTAGTGATTAGCGAAATATCTATTTCTAAAAGAGTGCTTTTATTATAATTTTTAAGGGAATGATATAATTTTAAAAATACACTTTAAATAAATTGCCTAAGACCATAGGCGAAATATTTAATTTTTTACTGCTTTGTGATTTTATTATAATTGTAAATAATAGTCAGTAATGAATAAAAATATCTAAATTTGTTCTTTTCTGTGCTTTTAATATAAATAATTTTAAAAACTCACCCAAGTTCACAACCAAGGTGCGAGTCCGCGATTTGTGGTATTTCTTGTATTCCCGAGTCCCCGCTAGTTGGCCCTCAAATAAAGCCAGATTTGGCGGGAAAAAGCTCAAGCGGCATCGCTACTTCTCACTAACACGGTCACACTGACCACCGCGTGCAGTGAATTTTTTTTGGCCAGCAGCGCAGAAAAAGCAGCTGAAAGCTGGAAAAATACATCACAAACCGCCGTGTCAAAGACGATTGAAACAATTGAAACGCGCGCCCGCCTTTTGAGAGGATTGCCAACCGATTGCCGTTGTTGTTTCTGGGGAATATGAGTGATACGCGTGAGCAGATTCTGGAGCAAATCAAAGTGCAAGGCGATCTCGTCCGTCAGTTGAAAGCAGCGAAGGAGTCGAAGGAGAAGGTCAGTTTTCGCCCCTCCCCTCCCCCTTTCCAGTGCGCCTCCCGCCCCCCTTTTGTGTGTGTACAATGGAATAAGTGCAATGCAATTGTTGCTGTAATTCCTCGCCTGCTTTCGTCATCAAATCAAAAATCCCACTCGCATATTTCATCAGATTCAGATTCAGTGAGAGAAAAAAAAACAAACACCTTTGCTGCTGCTGCGCTGGCATTTCGAATTTTCGAATGCCAATCGCATTTTTCTTTCCGTTTTGCAGTGTAATTAGATTGAATGCAACAACAGAAGAGCATGGCAGAAAAAGGCCAAAAAAAAAGAAGTAATGTTAAAAGAGCGCGCAGACTTTCACATTTACATTCGCACATTCGTGCCACTCTGTTGTTATTGTTGTCTCGCTCTGGCCAACGGCAAATGCTCGGCTTTTGCTTGCGCCGGTGTGTGTTTGTGTTCTACGCAGTGATGACAGCTATGGCTTGCGAAGTTTGGCTAAATTCGAGCTAAAAAAGCTAAAGTAAAAACTGCCTCATTATGATTGTTTTTGATCCTACAAAATTTTTTTTTAACCGAAAGCGAGATACGAGTGTATTATTAAACTTTTATACTAAGAACCCATTTTTAAAATATCACTGCATGCAATTCCTTGATCCTCGGCAAATGTGTCTGTTCGATTTAAAACATAGCGTCCCAAAAGACAGATTTTGTCAATTGGAACAGTAAAAGTACGTTGATATTTAAGAATTTAGAATTTAAGAATAAGTAGAACATCTTTCGTTTAATGACAGTAAAGTTTTTATTTATTTGAGGAACGCAAAATGGCTGAGGTAGCCAAAGGGTTGTTGGCTATAAAATCCTTTATCTTTAGTTAAGTATATTTTTATTATTTCAAGGGAAAATACAAAAAATATCTCATCTTTTAAAGAAAAAAAGTGTAAAAGTGCCACAGAAACAGCTTTTCGCTGAATTCGGTCTGAATTCATATGAACAAAAATATTAAGCGTATGAACTCAGCCCGAATTCAGCGCTGAACGGTTTCTTTAACCCTTTTAAGTGTGTTTTTTGTCCATTCTAATTGGCAAGGCCAAGTCGGACTTTCGAAAAAAGTCAATTTGAATTGCGAAACTGCCGAATTGGCAACACTGCGAGTGCTCTATGACCGACTGACTGACTGAACGAGAGAGCGAGAGAGCAAGGCGAAAGAGAGCGACTGGTCAAACAGGAGGCATGTACAAAAAACACATGGTGGTTATAGCGATTATATCAAAAACCTGCTAGGCCACAAACGATCCGAGAAATAACGACTGTAACATGTGATTTAGGCTATAAGGAATTCGCTTTTTCGGGCTACCACTATTTGAATTTTAAAGTTTCTTATAAAATTTTTTTTTATTAAAATTAAAACTTTGTATAATGAACGTTTTGATAAAAAACTTCTTAAAATTGATCTATATTTTGCAAGTAGTGGTAATCCCCCACCACAAAAGATAGTGTGCGTGTGCAATAACGGTTGTCAAGATCAGCTGTCTAACGGGAATCTAGCTGCGGCTGTGTGTGTGTGTGAGTGTCCTTGAATTCTTGAGCTTCCAGCTTCCATTAAATCGCGTCACTTTCCTGTTTTTTGCGTTTCAAGTGCCCAAAAAAAGAAAAAAAAAGTGTTATTCAAATAGCAAAACTTGTTCACAAAACAAGAGAAACAACAAAAATTCAGCGCTGACGGTCAATGGAACGCAATATTGTATTATTATATTATTATTTTGTTCTGCTTCAGCTGCACACACACCCACAAACACACTTCTCATTTCTTCTCACCAAACACGAAACTAGTTGTAAAATAAGCAAATATTATTGTTGTTGTTGTTTAATTAGGTTTGAAAAAGTTGCAAAAGAAAGTTGTTGCAAGCAAAAAAAAGCATAAAAAGAAAATTAAGAAACCGAAAAACACATGTTGCGTTCAATTGGCCGCCAGTGGCGCTGTAGTGCTGCGTTTCAGTGTGCAACGTTCCAGACGGCGCCCTCTGGCGGCGGGCGCGCCAACTCGTCCGGCGTGCCAGCCCAACAACAACAACGACAACAGCAACAACAAGAACAGCCACAAAAACAACAACAAGCACAAGAACAACAACAGCAACATGAGCAACTGCTGCAGGTTAGCATCTAAGAATATTATAGCATAACCCTTGACCACCCCGTTTGTAAATTGTCGTCTCGCCCACTTATCATTGCAGATCGATGAGGAGGTCGCCCGCCTTCTGGCCCTCAAGGCCAAGTTGGGCGGAGATGCCCCACCCACCAACCAGAAGTTCACGCTAAAGACGCCCAAGGGCACCCGGGACTATGGCCCCCAGCAGATGACCCTGCGCCAGGGCGTCCTGGACAAGATCATCCAGGTGTTCAAGCGCCACGGCGGCGAGGCCATCGATACGCCCGTCTTCGAGCTGAAGGTGAGTGCTACTGGGGTTACATTGGATATTATTTTGGATTTATGGGTATACGATGGGATTATTGAATATTATATGGATTATTGGATATTATATTGAATCTATAAACCATCTATTAGAGTCGAAGTTGTCAGAATATAAAATTAAAGGAATATATAGAATTATTGGATATTATATTAAATTATTGGATATTATATTGGATTATTCGATATTATATTGGATTATTGAATATTATATTGGATTATTGGATATTATATTGGATCATTGGATATTATGTTGGATTATTGGATATTATATTGAATTAGATAGTTTAGAGTCGAAGTTGTCAGAATATAGAATATATTGGATTACTGGATTTAATATTGGATTATTGGATTATTGGTTATTATATTGGATTGTTAGATATTATATTGGATTATTAAATATAATATTATATTCTTGGATAATATATTAAATTAGAAAGTTTAGAGTCGAAGTTGTCACACTTTAGAAGCTTTTTTTGTAAGTAAAGGCCATAGAAAATATCAGTTAAAGTCGCTTGTATTTAAACCTGACCTAAGAATAGGTATTATAGATTTGATATAGATTTTTTAAATTAAGCCGTTCTGTTTGCCTGTTAATCTGTTCGTTTTTTGGGTAATAATTTATTATTGATATAGTAGATCTATGCTTCCTTATCAAGCATTACAAATTTTCTCAAGAGGAAGTTACCTGGTAATCCATTTTGAGAAACAAATCTTAAAAATCGTAATTCTCTTAGATGATAATTTTTCTAAATTTAAAAATCTATAGTTAAAATCGTCTATCAACTATCTAAAAATCCAAATCCAAAACTCTTAGGTAGTATAATATATAATAATATATATTTATATTTCTGATATTCTTTTTCTTTAAAGAATTTTAAATCGAATTTTTTAATCCTTGCTTTTAACTTTATGATTTATTTTGTTTTTTTATATATGGGATATCAAATCCCTCCTTTACGCAAGTCTAACCCATTCTCTTATTAATCCATCCCAAACAGGAAGTGCTAACGGGCAAGTACGGCGAGGACTCGAAGCTGATCTACGACCTGAAGGACCAGGGCGGCGAGATTCTATCGATGAGGTACGACCTGACCGTTCCGCTGGCCCGCTACCTGGCGATGAACAAGATCTCGAGCATCAAGCGCTACCACATCGCCAAGGTCTATCGCCGCGACAATCCGGCGATGACCAAGGGTCGCTACAGGGAGTTCTACCAGTGCGACTTCGACATTGCCGGCACCTACGATCCCATGCTGGCGGATGCCGAGTGCGTGAAGATTGTGTCGGAGATTCTGGACACCCTGGACATTGGGGACTATGTGATAAAGCTGAATCACCGCCAATTATTGGACGGCATGTTCCAGGCGTGCGGAGTGCCGGCCGAGAGTTTCCGCACCATCTGCTCGGCGGTGGATAAACTGGACAAGGTGGGTGCCCAATTAGATAATTAGTCTAAAAATGTTTCTAATTTGCAACCTCTTTTTTTGTAGTCTCCCTGGGCGGATGTGCGCAAGGAGATGGTGGAGGAGAAGGGCCTGGACGAGGCGGCAGCGGATCGCATTGGCGAGTACGTGCGTCTGAGTGGCGGTGCCGAGCTGGTGGAGCAGCTGCTGGCCGACGAGAAGCTAAAGGCTGTGCCCAATGCCGTGAAGGGTCTGGAGGGCATGCAGCTGCTGCTGAAGTACTGCTCGATCTTTGGCCTCGAGAAGCGCGTTAGCTTCGATCTGAGCCTGGCCCGTGGTCTGGACTACTACACCGGTGTGATCTACGAGGGTGTGCTGAAGGGCGAGTCCGCAATTGCTTCGCCTGCATCTCCTGCGAAGACATCGCAGCAGAACGGAGAGCCGGGATCACCGAATGAGCCGGCCACCGTGGGTTCCGTGGCCGGTGGCGGTCGCTACGACAATCTGGTGGGCATGTTCGATCCGCGCGGCAAGGCTGTGCCCTGCGTGGGCGTCTCCATTGGCGTGGAGCGCATCTTCTCGGTGCTGGAGGCGCGGGCAGCTGCCGGCGGCCTAAAGCTGCGCACCAGCGACGTCGAGGTCTACGTGGCCTCGGCCCACAAGGGACTGCACGAGCAGCGACTGAAGGTGCTCAACCAGCTGTGGGAAGCGGGCGTCAAGGTGGGTTCAATAGCTCAGACTTTAATTTATTTATTTATTTAATATCCCAGCGCTACAAGCGCACATTTATAATTATCGCGCTAGTCACATTGAGTTGATAATTTTAACAAACTAATTATTATTTTAAAGATATTTTAACAATTTTCCTCGCTTATTTTGTAGTTTTCTAATTACTATTATATTATTTTTTTATTTTGAATTTTTTTTTTTTTTTAAGGTAGTTATATAGTTTTTTATGCTTTTATTATTATTTTTTTTTATATATTATTATTTTATTTTATTGTTATAATTATTATAATTATTACTACAAGTGCACACTTATAATTATCGCGCTAGTCACATTGAGTTGATATTTTTAACTAGTTATTATTTTTAAGACATTTTAACAATTTTCCTCGCTTACTTAATTACTAACATCAAATATTTTGTAGTTTTCTAATTACTATTATATTATTTTTAATTATTTTTTTAATAGTTATATTGTTTTTTATGCTTTTATTCTTATTATTTTTTAAAAATTATTATTTTATTTTATTGTTATAATTATTTTAAGTTATCTTTAACTTTGTTATAAAATTGAGTTGCGCTCCTAATTGTCTTGAATTGATGGGGTAGATTGTTCCATATCCTTTGTAAGCTTTGTAGTTGTGTAATAGCTTTCACCTAATCCCTTTTTTATTATTTTCCCCCAGGCGGAGCACTCTTACAAGCTGAATCCCAAGCTGCTGGTGCAGCTGCAGCACTGCGAGGAGCACCAGATTCCTTTGGTCGTCGTCCTCGGCGACGCGGAATTGGCCCAGGGATTGGTGAAGCTGCGCGAGGTGACCACGCGCCAGGAGAGCAATGTCAAGCTGGAGGATTTGGCTGCCGAGATTCGGCGACGACAGCAGGCGGCCGCCTAGGCTGTACAATAATTTTCTTAAACAATTTTTTTTTGCAACTGATATTACCGAGATACCGCAACCGCAACCGCTACTGCTCCTAATTTATGAACCAATCATCCAGCATCGAAGTATAGATTTTTTTTCCTATTTGTACGTTTTGTATTTTTTGGTGTCCTGGCCGGAGGCGCCGTGTGCTACTATGCTTAGGTCTACAGTGTAACCATAGGAATAAGTGCGGACAACTTATACCAAAATGAACGCTAAAAAGAAACAAATAAACGCTTAGGCGACTCGCATTTAAGCCGGAAACAGTTGTTTTTCTAGGGCTATTAAAAATCTTATTTTTTATAATATTTTAAAGACAAAAAAAAGTGTTATTTGATAAAAAAAACCAATAATTCGGTGGCCTGAAAGTATGCCTCAAAATGGAAAAGAAAATCTTTAAAATAATATATGGCTTTCTTTATACTTTTAGGCATAAATCTCAATATTATTTACTTATACTTTTAGGCTTGTGATTTATTTAGTTGATTTTGTGGCTGTTTTTCTCTAAAATTAAGTTAATTAATCCCTTATCTCTCTGTCTAATTTCTTGCAGAACTTGAAGCCCCGCCAAGATCGGAGTCAGCATAGGGATCGGCAGGCGGAGGAGGAGCAGCGCCGCGGAGCGGAGGCCGGAGCCTTCTGAGGCGGCGGCCAGGATGCCGGAGACGCTGCCCGCGACTGCGACCGTGACGGCGTCGAGCATCGACTGCACCGTGGCGGTGCTCAAGGTGCCCACGCCCACCCTTCAGCTGCCGGAGGTGTGCAATCTGCAGAGCCTCGGCCTGATTATGGAGCCGAACAACATAAACATTGAGCTAAATCCCGCCGCCATGGAGCCAGTGGGATTCAAGGTCAGTTGGCTATCGCAAAATCTTTACTTGTAATTTTGGGCACAAGGAATATTTATATATGTACAACGGATCACCATTGGCGACCCTTGCTTTGGGTCACCAAATACAGCGGTTGACTCTTCTGGGATTCCATCGAATCGAGGGAGGTTATCAAACCAAGGCGACAGTTGGCCGCCTTCCGCAGTTGCTGCTCCCCTTCGAGCATCTCCAGCTCGGAGGTGTCTGGCGGCAGCTCCACCTCCACCTCAAGTTCACCTTGTGGCTGCTCCTGAATTGCATAAAGCGACTGCTGCTGAATGGCGAGTAGCGGCTGCTCCTCGTGAATTTCCTGCGGAGGCTCCTCCGCTTTCATTGCCCAATTATAAGCCAGCATGAGGCGATCGGCCAGCAAGACCATGGGCTCATCGATGCTGGGTCCCAGGATCAGGGGAGCAGTTTGCTGATGATCTACGTAGGCACGGGCTGGAGAATCCTCCTCCTCCTCCTGCTCCTCGCCGGTGGAGAAGAAGTGACCAATGGTGCGAAGGCAAGTGCGCAGGCCACCGCGGAATTTCTCCACGTGGCTCACTTCTCTCCTTTTTTCCGGCTCAACGGGCACCGGAATCTTGTGGGCACTGGCGAAGGGATTCAGGCTCAGCCAGTCCACCACCTTGTCCATGTCCTCGTCGTAGTCATCCGCCGACATGGAGCCAAAGTAGATTTTCGGTAGCTCTACATTTTCCAGACGCAAACCAGCCGCCAGCTCATCAAGACATTCCCTGAAACACTGCTTCAGATTTTCGGCATGCAGCTGAATCTGTTGACTTATCGGCAGCTGCGGTTCAGCTGGTTCCTCTGGAGGAGTCTCCTCCTGGCTCTGCTGTTCATCATTCTTCTGGTTCTTTGGAAACTCCACGCTCGTGTGAGAACTGCCAATGGGCTTGGGATTGTGGTGTAGTATCTTCACCGGAGCATTGGCCCTTTCCGACCAATTGGTCCACGAGTCATTCGCGAACAGCATCTTGGGATCGAAGGTGATGTTGAGACCGCCCCTGGCGCGTTCTGTCGATTTCTCGACAAGATTATCCCCTAAAAAGCCACCTGGCACTGATTTCCACCAGTTTTCGCAGTTCGTCAACGTTGAGTCCTCCTTTTCCAGGCTTTTGTCTTGGTTCTCGTCCTCCTCCTCCTGCAGGATTTCCTCTCGGATTTTCACGATGCAACCATGCAGCTGGGCCTCCTCCTTAAACAAATTCCGCAGGGTCTTCTTTACAGTCCGCGGATGTAGTTCCCTCAGTGGATCCTCGGAGACATAAAGAAGGTACTGACCCGCCGTTTCCATGGCTGCAAAGCGATCATTGCCGAGATCCTCACCATCGACCGGCGCCTGGGCCAACATCATCTTGAGTATCTCCGTATTGAAGTACTTGCTCATCTTGTGATCTTTGTTCTTAAATGTGGATTTACTTATTTTTTTTCTTTGTATTACTTAAAGTTTACGAGTTTAGTGTGTTCTGTTTACGAAAAATATCGTATACTTCTACATAATGAGGCCTAGAGTTTTTGAAAGAAGTCGCTGACTAGCCTGCTCCGTTTTTATTATTAGTTAGGTAACCCTTATTAAATGGAAAATATGTACTATGTAAAAACCTGAGAAACTTAATGATCAGTGATCTTTGTCATCGAACTATAAATTGTAAATATAAGAGCTTGTCTGAAAATACATTATAAGATCATAAGGTTTACACATCATATAAATTATATAAATCAGGGAACGTAACTGTTATAAGTTTTATTTTAAAAATCACACTTTAACAGTTATTTTCTGATTTGTAAAGTAAAACTTAAAGAATAACTGTTATTTTTTGAGTTTTATAATAAAAGTTGACAAATAACAGTTATTCGTCGTGATCAAAAATAAAACTCAAACTTGATTTATGGCGATTTTGTGGGTAAACAAAATTTTAAAAAAATATAGGTATAAAATATGCGCGGTTGCCTTTTTTAACAAATTTTTAGTAAGTTTCAAAAATGTCAAGGGAATAACTGTTATTCATAAAAATCAAAAAATAACAGTTATTTTTTGAGTTTTATTATAAAAATCAAAAACTAAAAATCATTACGGATTTGTAAACTACAATGGCTAATAAAAATTGTGGTGTATTTAAAAAATTTTTAGGACCCTTCTAAGTGCGTGATTTTTTTGTATGAAAAATTTACAATAACAGTTATTTTCGTTCCCTGATATAAATCATCAGATTAAATATAAAACATTAGCCAAAATCAAAATCGAAAATGGTGATACTATTTTGAAGAGTTTTCGAAAAGCTCTAAGAAGTATTACTAATTTAAAAAAGTTATATTTAATGTATTGAAATTTAATTATTATGAATAGAAAATTAAGCCATGAACTAGTTAGTATTTTACCTTGTCCAAGAATAACGAATTGGGGTCACCAATTACCATAAAATCCTTAAAATTTGTTCAATAATATTGGTTTCTATATATCCAACCTAGGGCCGAGAATAGCATTTCGAAAATTAAGCCATGAACTAGTTAGTTTTTGAACTTCTCCAATAGACTGCAAGAAAAACGAATTGGGGTCACCAATTTGCAAATTCAGCGCATGTGAGAAATCCTTAAAATTTGTTAAATACTATTCGGTTCTTTAATACCCAATTTAAGGCCAAGAATATCATTTAGAAAATTAAGCCATGAAACTTGTTAGTTTTTTAACTTGTCCAATAGACAGTGCAAGAAAAACGAATTGGGGTCACCAACTGCCATATCTCGCGCATTTCAGTGCATTTAAAAATCCCTAAAAATTTCCTTAATAATATATTAAAAATTCTGGTATTTTTGCCCAAGAACTAACCATATTTGCCCACTGTCTAGCGCTTTCGGCATCTCTTAATTTAATTATGCACAGCAGAGAAATGTCAAGCGGTTCGCGGCTGCTCATCGCCTCGTTTTTACACTCGAACTGAGTCCTGATTGAGGCTGTCCCCGCATTTCTCATGCTTCAGTGCGTGCAATTTGATGGCAAGGTGCCAGGGGTGGCTGGGTGGGTGTTGCAGGGGTTGAAGGGGGGTTGCCGGGGGTAATGGTGGCCGCTCCTCATTCAAATGACCCAACGCAACGCAACGGCGGACTGATTCTGACAGGAGCCGCCACAGAGAATCTCTGCCGGCTAATACAGTTTTAATATGAAATTTCATTTCGTTTCAACGATTGTCCAACAATTTGTTGTTGCTGTTGTTTTTGTGTCTCTGCTGCTGCCGCTGACATGTCACTGCGATGAAGTTGAAGGTTGCCAGGGGTCGCATAGTGGGCTGGCATGGGCAAAATATTATTTGCACCCTTAAATTAATTAGATGTTAAAATTTAATTTCAACTTAAGTTAACAATTTATCTAAATTAACCAATAAATTATTTAGATTTTATTAATACAATATGTACATTTATACTTATTGTGTATATAAATCTAATAAACAAATTTCTAAAAATTAGGTAACCAAAATAACTTTAAACTATTTAAACTACAATTTATCATTTTGATTTATTATTTCGTTAATTAAATCATTTAAATTTTTTTTCTAAATAATTAAATTCTTCAGTTCATTTGATTGAAAGGTGAGAAATATGAAAAATTATAATGCAAATAAATAATAAACAAACTTAACTCACGAACTTAAAATAAACATTATATATACTTTTTGTTGTTTTTTTAGCACACTGTGCAGAGTGGTGGTGGGATTAGCTATTTATCATTTTAATTAACTTGATACACATAAATCTAGTAAAATATAATTCGAATAGCTGCTAGAGCTCTTAATGTCAGTTAGCTTATAGTTTTAACTTTAAGTTTGCTTTATATAAATAAAAATAAATAAATAATTCAAAAAAATAATAGGCAAACGTTATAGGACTCGGGAACCTAATATATGCATTATATATTTTTTGCTTTTTACCCACTGTGCAGTGTGGTGGTGGGATTGCAGCGGATTGTGTTGGGCTAGGATTTCGAGGTTTGCTCGCTCCGAACTGAACCCCGTGTGCATGTTTTCGTGTGTGCAGTGATTTGTTTCGGGGGTCTGAAATTGGGACTGCGACTGGACGGGAACTGGGAAGAGGGTGCACTTCAGAGGGCGACTGATATCATTCAATGCTTCTAATTTACGGATTAATGAAGGCGCAACTTTACATATGGAAATGCTCGCTGCGCCGCGGCGATCGTGGGAAGCGATTAGAGCGGTGCGGTGGTTTAGTTCCATTTGATTTCGGTGGTGCGAGGGGGAGAGAGAGAGGTCCCTTTTAAAATCGCCCGTCGCATTGGCATTGATGGATTGGCCCATAAATTTGTGATTTGCTAAGCTCGACTGCCATTTTCCAGTCCAGCCGATCACAAAGTTAATTTGTATGAATAATTATGTTAGGTGGCTGATATTTGTGGGAGTATGAAAATGTACAAGTTTCCCTAGGTCATTGAGAGGTCAAATTCGAATGTATTTTAGCAAAATTAAAAGGGGAAAAGGTCTATAAATCTAGCTTTAAAATATCTGTTTTGGGATTCCCTTTCCCATTTTCTACATAGATACAATCTTAGCTTCACTTTTGTAATTCACAGTTCAGTGGACTATTATAAGGATATTACTCTTTGTAAAGGATTTTTCACAGAACTTACTACTATTTCATAAGTAAACTTAAAAGACTTTGAGAGCTACCCAATTAAAAAGGCCAATCTCTGAGGGACTGTAACTACAGGGTGCCAAACCAAAGTATCCTGCGAACAAACACTAATAATATTAATAACGATTATCGCCCGATGGAAATGAATCTGGCTCAGAATCGGATTCAGAGTCATAAATACACGACGCTCACTCACTCACCTCATTCATCCGTCCATTCATCGATAGTATCTCCGCTCCGTAGAGATCCGGGGGGCAGAGCCACGCGACGGCAGTTGCTTATCGCGGGTGACCAGAGAATCGCCACGTGCGATTTCGTTGCCAATTCCATTCATAGTTCGACCAGCACATGTGAGCGTTAGTGAATGGGCGAGATGGGTACCCTTGGGGGCACTCACATAAGACCCAAAGAAATTGGTATGCATTTAAAATAAAGTATGCCTAAAGTAAAATATATTTTTTTAAATTATAAATATTTAAATATTGAACCATAAAAATAAAGTCTATGGAATTATCAAAAAACTTTGTTCAGAATTACCTATGTTTTATACTTTATTTATTTTATTAAAAACTAAATATTTTTCCAAATACTATATTTAAATACTATATTTAATATTTGTTTAATCATTCTATTGAATTAAAAAAAAATTGTGTTGTTCTTACGGACAAATTTAAAAATCTATACTTTATTTATTTTATTAAAAACTAAATATTTTTTTAAATACTATATTTAACCATCAAAAATCATTCTATTGAATTTTAAAAAAATTGTGTTGTTCTTACGGAAAAATTTAAAAATCTATACTTTATTTGTTTTATTAAAAACTATATATTTTTTCAAATATTTTTTAACCATTAAAAATCATTCTAATAAATTTAAGTACAATTTTCTTATTAAAAAAATTGTAAACCGTTAAACAAGTCTGTATAATTAAATCAATTTTTGCAAAACTAAAATCATATAATTTTATATTTATTTTTAATTTATTATATTAATTTTTTATTTGCATCTGCGTTACAGAAACCCTTTCCTGGAATTATTGGCCTACAATTGTGTAAAACGAAGTGTGTTTAAAATTCCAAGTGCACATTTTTTCAGTGAAATTGGGTGCTACTTTCGTGCCCGCGGCTGTGCGCAACCGGTAGCAACTTCTGGTTAAACGGAGGGGGTTCGGAAGCGGGAACAAAGACAGCGAGAGCGGGACCAGCAAATTTGCGTGCAATCGTTTGGCCTGCGTTTTTAATGACTTTTTCGATCCAGCTCGGGTTATCCCAACCCCTCCTCCCTTCGCCCGCCAGGCAATGCATTTAATTCGATTATGAGACGCGCGGAGTTCCTTGGTATAAGTATAATATTTTTGGTGGTGGCTTTGCGAAAAGTAATTGAAACTCTCTGGCTTGGCTGTAAGTGGAACGCAGTCGGCCGCCCCTGCCCATCTTCACGTGCGACGGAGTACAACTAATGTGGGTGTTAACGGTGTGTTAAGTGATTTCGCCATTTGTTGCTGGATCGAACCGAACGATTCCAATTCCAATTCCTCAACTTCGAATAGCGTCGACGACGACGACACCCGATAAGTATCGGGGTCTTTGGGCACTGAACTGAGTACTTGGCGGCACGGCACACACGTTTCGCACATATTTCAAGCGCTTTTCACTGCGGATAGAACTTTTCATTTCCGCTTTAAAATGGATAAATGGATAAAGGCAATTGCACAATTGTATCGACTTACAAAGCATTGTGCCTTTGGATTGGGCGATTCAAAAGAGCAGGTCTTTAAAGTATAATTCCCTTTGTAACCCCGAAAATCGAAAGGTTCTTCGGGCATTCATAGTTATATGGTATTTAGTATGGGAATATAAAAATATGCCCACACAGAGAAAAAAAAAGACCAAAAATAGTCATCCATAGGGTATTTTTTCATATCAATTTTGGTCAATTTCATATCAAAATTATATTTCCGAACATATGATTTTGTACCATATTGATATATAAACATACCATTTTGTTATGGAAAAATTGATATGAAACAATATCAGTTCCATATTGTTCCGTTTTTTTCTCTGTGCATAATTAAGAACACTATATTATTATAAGGTTGGATGCTTATACTTTCCATTTGAATACTAGTCATGATTGAAGTATAAGTTTAGGATTAGTTATCATAATATTATGTATAATTCATACAATTATTATATTAAGCAAGCTCATGCAATTAAAATCATATCACAGAAATCAATTATACATTTACTTTAGTTTTCAAAAATCTAAGAAAATATATTATGTACTATATAATATGATATAATACGTTACGTACTGCACTTCTGCAAGGGTATAAAAGCATAAAATTACTCTTAATATTACCTCCAAAGAGTCATTTTTAATGTGGTTATTAATATGGAATTTTATCTGATAGGACCCAGCTCGAGAATCCCGGCACTCGTTAATGGGTTAATTTAAAGGTGCAATTTATCTCTGCCCTGCCAAGTGTCGTCCCTTGTCGCCACTACCCCTTGTTTTTGCTTTTTTTTGTCCGACAGCCGGCTAATGAAAACTAAAAACTTCAATTACCAAAAGAGCCAAATAATGCGTTTTTAAACCCAAAAATGTAAGAGTTAAGAGCGGGCCAAGAAATTGTGATAGATGAGGGTTTGGCAATGTTTTTTACGGGCCACTTGTTCGTGACCCTGCTTTCGGATTTCCACTTTCTAAACAAAGAGTGACCGAAAAGGCGCAACAGCGACCAAAAGAAAATGGCAATAAATCAGGGTAAATAACACACACAAGTACCAAGAGTTCCGCAAGGGGGCGGTATGAAACGAAAGGGTATTTCGCTCGAAATTTCCCAATGGGGTGATTATTTAAAATTGTGCAACGCATAAATAGAAGTCAAAGTTGGCAAAAGCAGCAGAGGCAGCAGATGTGGATTTGGATTTGGGGGCCAGGTCCCGGTCCCATATCTTCTGCTTGTGCTCTTGTAATTGTGTTTTTAGCTTATTGCCTTTGTCCACAATTTGTACCACAGGGAACGCACAACCAAGTCCAATCGATATGTCCATAATCAGCTAAAGATTCCATGCATACAAAAATCCTAAAAAATAATTAAATAAATAGATTAGATTTATTCTTTAAAAACATTTTGACAAATATCTTTGGCACCTTAGTGGATTCAGTATATAATTGGGTTAAAAAAAACCTTTGTTCTTTAAAAGATTCGATTCAATAAAATATATCATTTGACTGAGGCTGAACAAAGTCCAATCGATATGTCCATAATCAGCTGAAGATTCACGCATCCAAAAATCCTAATAAAAGTAATCAAATAAATATATTATATGCAGGCATTTTTGTATTCATGTGCTTCACAAATAGTGGTCTTAAATAACATTTTGAAAATAATTTTTATAAATATTTTTGGCACCGTGGTAGATTCAGTATATAATTGGTTAAAAAAAACTTTTTTTTTATATTTATCGAAAGGTCTGTTTTTTTAAAAATTCGATACCAACAGGTGGTATACATAAAAATATATCATTCGATTGATAATCAGCTGAAGATTCATGCATCCAAAAATCCAAATAAAAATAATTAAATAAGAAGATTAGATTCAGGAATTTTGTTTATTCATGTATCTCACAAATAATGGTCTTTAAAAACATTTTGAAAACGATTTTGACAATAATCTTTGGCACTTTAGTGGATTTAGTATATAATTGGTTTAAAAACAAATTTTGGTTTAATATTTATGGAAAAAGCCTCTGTTCTTTAAAAGATTTAATTTAAGGTGGTATACAAAAAAATATATAATTTGTAAAAGAAATACATCACTCGTCACGATACACATATCCCCGCTTCACCAGGTTCTCCTTCATATCGGCCAGTTCTCCCTGGAAGCGAATCAAGAACCCATCGCGAGGCTGAATAGCTGCAATGGTCACGTCAATCTCCTTGGAGAGTAGCTTTTTCTTTAAATATGCGATGCCCTCGGCGGTCTTGTCGTAGAACATGAATTTCGTGGTTCGTAGGCCCTCTATTTGGAATCTGTAGGCCAGAAAGGCACGCATCTTATCAACTCCCTGGCACGGAGCCAATGTATTTGGGTTGGCGAAGGCGGAGCGGCCAAAGTCCACGAAGAATACGTAGTACTCGCCATCGGTCATGTCCATGATCTTGGCACGATAATATCGGCCGTCTGAAAATTGAGCCAGAACAATGTCCAAAGCTTTGAATCCAACTTGGCCCTTCAGCACTTCCGAGTCCTGCCACACCGGCGGATCCGGGCCGTCCACAAACTGGCCGTAGAACTCGTTGGGACCACTCACGTGGCTGACATGGATGCGAACCGTGCTGCCCACTTTCGGTAGCACAGGTACAGTCGCCGCAAAAGCTGCCGCCACTTCCATATCGTCGGCATCCATCGGCATTTCCTCCGATGATTCTTCGGGCACGGCTCTCTCTGGGATCTTGGACTCATCCCTGATCAGCTTCACCAGCAGATCGAAGCCATCATTGAAGAGCACTCGCAGCCTAACATTGCGGCAAATGAGGCTCTTCATCTCGAGCGTATCGCCGGGCGTGTCTAGGGTGCATCTAATCGCCTCGGAGGGCAGCTTTTTGATGTGATCGGGCAGCTGGAAAATGGGCTCCGTGCCGCACAGGCGGATGTACTCGCCGAAGTCCAGCTGATAGGCATCGTAGGATCCCTGCTCGGGACTGGCGTAGACCACGATGCGGGAAATGCAGTTCTCGGCGGCGTCGTAGAAGGCGAAGATCTCACCGTAATCGGGCAGCTGCTCCAGCTCCCGCAGCGGCACCTTGCCCAAGAACAGGTACTTAATGGGCATGGAAGTGGAGTCCAAGGTGGACACAAAGAATTTGGTTTCCTCCACGCTAGCCACGGTGATCCTTAAATCAATTCCCGTTGGAAATCTATCAACCTTGCTGACCATGCTATTGTAGACCGAATCCTTGGTCAACTGCTGACCGCCCCTGGGAGGCAGGAAGCGGCGCTTCCGCTTCCCCATCGGCAATTTAAGAATCTTCGCCCCATTGGCATTGGACTTCACTATCGGCCTGCAGTATGGACGCTCGAGCGTCGTGCGATTCTTGAAGATTGTCCACAGCATCTTCACTCCCGGGTCCGCCTTGTCATCGTACTGGACTGCATTCCTCGGAATTGGCCGAATCTTAATATGCTCCATGAATTTAAACCGATTCGATCTAACAAAATCGCTTTCTTCCATTTACTCGTATTGTTTTGAGAAAATTCCAGGCTGGTTGTTTTTGGCGAAAAGGAAAAGGAAGTGGCAGAGTTGTGTTTAACGTAACTTATCGAACGCGTGCTTTCTCTATCGATATATCGAATTGGCTATGAAGCTGTTCGATAGCGTCTATGGGAAATAGTTAGGGGATTCCCTAATAGTGTGTTTAGACTACTGGAATCTGTTTCGAATGTTAAAAAACTATGCGATCAGGTATATTATATAACCATTCGAATTTAAAGAAAACTGACATTAAAATCGAACGCTACCATTGTATTTCTTTGTATTTACGAGTAAATTTTAAATCTTCGTCGATCATGTGAATAACGATTCTCTTCATGTATCCACAGGGGTTCTTTGAGGAACAAAATCAGATAACTTTTCTTTTTGTCGCATGTCAATGATGCGCTTAGTCTAAACACACATTTTGGTTAGCTTTGGTACAAAGTAAAATTTCAGAAATTTTAGCAATTTAACAACTTCGAGGTTAATAATGTATGTATCAAAACATTTTAAAAATATTTAATGTAATATCATTTTGAAGAGATTTCGTTAATAAATGATCTGCAGGAGATTCAGTACATATTCCTTTATTAAATATCTTTGATTATAGTGAAATCTTGCTTTTAATTTGGACATTCCCTAAATGGATGTAATTCTGGATTAAATTTTTGCCCTGTTCACACTATGATCAAGATAATCCCATTAACTCCTTTTTTTTAAATTTTTATGAATAGAGAAATAGTGATGGACAATTAGGAAGTTTTGGTAGAGTCTTTGTTATTTTTTTGTATATTTAGCTTTGTTGTCCAAAATAAGTTTAATAACAAAATTAAATAAAAAAATGTTACATTAAACGCGACATCCTTTTGCATACAAATGAATTAATAAAAATTCCAACAAACGCAACATAAATAAGGCGTTAAAATGAATAACAATTTCCAAATGGAAACGCGTTAAAAAATATTCCTATTGTATTCTAAACATAAGTATGACCGTTGTGTAGGGAATTACCTAAAATCCCGCCAAACTGGGCGACAGCTTTCGTGGTTTGAAACCAAATGAGAGGGGTGGGTCACAGGATCAGCTGATCGAGAACGATAGTGACGCCAGGGTAAAACCAGAAAAATGCCGCAAGTTAAGAAAATGCACGTGAAATCCCCGCCAGAAACGCCAGCTGAGGCTGGAGCTGGATCTCCCGGAGAAGCCTCGTCGGTGGCCGTGGCGGCGGATGCCTCCGAAACGGAGAACCTGGTGAAACTGGTCATGGCAATGGGTTATCCAGAGGGCGAGGTTCGCATTGCCTTGGCCCGCAGCAACAACAACGTGCAGCTGGCGGTGGAGATTTTGGTCGTTGGCGAGCCTGAAAACGATGACAAGGAATCCCGGAAGCGACGTCGCAGTCGCCAGCGATTGCGTCAGCTGCGCAGCTCCCTTCTGGGGGATCCCGAGTCGACGGACAAGGCCATCGAGCAGATGATGCGGGATATTGATACCGCACAGGCGCTCACTGAGATCGTTGGCAGGAGCAGCTTGGAGGCCATGCAACTGTTGCTCGCCGAGGAGGAGGAGGAGGAGGAGGAGTACGCCGAGGAGCAGGAGCTGACCCTCAGTCCGGAGCCTTCATCTTCATCCGCCGAGAGCTCGCCGGGCAGCAACTGAACTGCAAACAGATGTCAGTACCGCTCACAGATATATTCCTTATTTGTGAAATTTTGTAAAATCGCAAAAAGGTAATTTAAAGCATATCAGCGTATTTTCATACTTTTAAAAATGCATCATACCATTTAATGGTTTAGTCCACAACAATATCCATTTTAAGATCTGTTAAAAGTTAAAAGAAGTTTTCTTACGATTAGAGTTCCCAGTTTCAGTTTCAATAATATTTTATGGAATTTTACAAGATTTTCTTTTAAAGTTAATGCCAATGGATGTGAATAAATATCCATTTAATATTTTATAATTTGTCTAAGAACTGCAAATCTTATTAAATCGTTTGGCTTAAAAAGAATAAAAAGCTTGGTGAAAATACATGGTACAAATATCGTTTGCGACTCTTAAGTTCTAGTGTTGTTAAATAATAAAAAAAACTATGTGAAATTATAAAGGAATACCGCCTTTGAATTACAATACAAAACCATAAGATCACCACAGATTCACTTTTAAAGCAAAATATTACTTATATATTTAAGAACTGAGCTCCGCGAGAATGATATTACCTGATGTGCCAGGCTCTTTAATGTATTTATTTACCCTGTAGCCATCAGGAGACATTAAATGCATTAGGGTTACGCAACGCCCCAACCCTCTTCCCTCTTTGTTGTTGTTTTTGCGGATGTGACTCCGGTCAAGGAGCGGAAGAAGCAGAAGAAGCCGGAACTGAAAGCAGCAACCCTGTGGCAAAAGCAAAGCGCAGCTTGTCAACCCTTTTCGGCCCGATGATTAATGACAGCTCCTTTTTTTTCTACTTTCTGTGTTCCAGTGTTTTGTACTGATTTCAATTTACCGCTTTCGTCCAAAAGTTGGCTCGAGTGCATCCCCTAGGTTTTCGGTCAGGGGCACGGGTATTTCGCATTTGAAAAATTCTAATTAATTTTGACTTGCAACCGTTGACACTGTCAGCCGCAGCCACGTAACCCACCCAGCGTTTATCGCGTTTGATCGGCGTTGCGGCGCACCGCAAAACTACAGAAGGCGACAACCCCTGGACGTCTAGAATATTCAATTCCATGGCCTTTGAAACTCTGAGCTCGCAACTCTAATCGTAGGCGGCGCCGTCTCATTTATCAAGGGCAGGCAACTGTCACCGTCACTTTTTTTTTGCTCTGCTCGGGTTAAGATTGCTCGGGTTAAGTCAGATTGGACAGTGAAAAAAGTACGTATGTGCAGGTGTTAATTTTTATACTATTTAACATTAATGCCAGATTGCATTTAGCGAATATTTTAATAAGAATTAATCATCGAGTAATATGGAGAACCACGACCATCTATTAACGATGCGAGTGAGGAAGTACATCGAGGAGCACAGCGGTGAAACCCACCTGTATGTGGGGCAGGCGACCATGGAGTTGATGCAAAAGTACCCGGAGTACTCGCGACGCGAATTTGAACCCTTCAGGCAGTTGGTACTTCAAGCATTCTCCATAGTCTCCGATAGCTACAACTTGGACATGGTCGAGGCGCCACCAAGTAAGCCGCTGGCTGCCAAGCCCATCAGCGAACCCATCGATATATCCATTGGGAAGGACAACGAAGATGACTCCAATACCAGCACCACCAACGGAGATGAGCAACCAGCTCCACCGGAAGTTCAGGCCAATGCTCTAAAACGCCTGATGGAAGATCTGCCGGAGACAACGGCGGTTCCCAAGAAAACAGCTAAATTGAATACTATTCCAGGCTCGGGACCAGATTCCGCACACGAATTTCCACCAGGTGTCGGTCATGGGGGTGAAAATCATCACTCCGAGGACGCCGAGGATCATGGTAATGCATCCAGTTTTAATCAGCAGCGGAAGTACAAGAAGAAGCTGAAGATGTACCACCCCAGGCAAAGTTTCTGGGACATTGGCGGCATGGATACCGCCCTGAAGGAGCTCTGCCAGATTCTGATCCATATCAAGTCGCCGAAGTCATACTTTCACTTGGGACTGTTGCCCTCGAAGGGAATTTTGCTGCATGGCCCGCCAGGATGTGGCAAAACCTTTCTAGCCCGTGCCATAAGTGGGCAACTTAAAATGAGGCTGCTGGAAGTGCCGGCCAAGGAGCTGATTGGTGACATCTCCAACGAGACCGAAGAGCGCATACGCGAGGTCTTCGAACAGACCATTAACTACTCGCCTTGCGTGCTCTTCATCGACGACATCGACGCCATCGGTGGCAACCGCCAGTGGGCCTCAAAGCTGATCAGCAGCTGGGATAACCTGAGAGCCAACCAGTTTGGTCACTCCGTGCTGGTCATTGGGGCCACCAGGCGTCCCGATGTCCTCGATCGTCGCCTACGTAGCATTGAACGCTTCGCTCATGAGATCGCCATACACAAACCGTCGCGCAAGGAGCGCCGTAATATCCTGCGCATCCAGTGCGAGCGACTGCCCATTGATCCGAAGCTTAACTACAATAAGGTTGCCGAACTAACACCTGGTTATTCCGGCGCTGATCTGAAGGCCTTGGTCGCGCGCGCATTTTCCGTGGCCGTAAGGCGTAGGTCCATGAAGAAGTTCCGTGAACTGCGCGATGCCAGAGAGAAGAACATGATCACGGTTATTTTGGATGACGATGAGTCCGTCGAGGGGTCAGGCGATGACGAGATCGACGAGGCGGATGGTGACAAGGAAAACACCGATGATAATGACAACGCAGGGGGCGACACACCCAACACTGAATCCCCCAAGAAACCCCCCACCAATGGCGAATCACCGGGAGAACCAGTGGACGAAAAGCCGGAGGCCGTTGAGCAGGAAGCGGACTCATCCGACGACGAATACTACGAGCCCATGCTGGCCGAGCTGATCAACTTTGTGGACCATCCTCCCAAGAAGTTTGCCGATCCAAATTTCTGCATCACTCTCGACGATTTCGTGAACGCCATCAAGGTAATGCAACCTTCGGCCAAAGGCGAGGGCTTCATCACTGTGCCGGACACCACCTGGGATGATATTGGGGCACTCGAGAAAATTCGCGAACAACTTAAGTTGGCTCTCGTGGCGCCAATTAAGTATCCAGAGAGGCTGGAACGCCTGGGATTGAATGCTCCTTCGGGAGTTCTGCTCTGCGGTCCGCCAGGTTGCGGCAAAACCCTTCTGGCCAAGGCTATTGCCAACGAGGCTGGCATCAATTTTATTTCCGTCAAGGGCCCCGAGCTAATGAATATGTATCTTGGCGAAGGCGAACACGCTGTGCGTGCCTCCTTCCAACGTGCCCGTTACTCGACACCCTGCGTCCTCTTCTTTGACGAATTCGACTCCTTGTGCCCCAAACGCTCGGATGGGGGCGAGGGAAATAATTCTGGCACTCGTATGGTTAACCAATTGCTGACCGAAATGGATGGCGTCGAGGAGCGCAAGGGTGTTTACATCCTGGCGGCGACCAACAGGCCGGATATCATTGATCCGGCCATTCTACATCCCGGTCGCCTCGACACCATTCTGTACATTGATTTCCCCGATCAGAGCGAACGTGCCGAGATCCTAAAAGCCATCACAAAGAACGGAAAGCGTCCTCTGCTGGCGGAGGATATTAGTCTCGACGAGCTGGCTGCCCAAACAGAGGGCTACACTGGCGAGGACCTGGCAGGACTAATTAAACAGGCCTCCATGTTCTCCCTGCGCCAATCTTCAAACGATGACAAATTCAAACTAGACGATCCATGCTTACACAGTCACCATTTCAAAGATGCTCTACAAAAGTTGCGCCCCTCAGTTTGCGAACAGGATCGCAAAAGTTACGATGAACTGCGCCTGAAGTACGCTGGGTACGCTTAGGGTACCCAATGGGAATTGCGAGGACTAACATATGATTTTCAATACAAAACCGTAATGTTACCCAATAAAAAAAAATAATAATAATAGAGTATGATTTACTATTTACCAAATATGAAATGATAGGCATAATAATAAAAATGTTTTTTTTTGTTTTCTAATATAAACATAATGTTTAGATCATATACATACCTAAATCGTAAGCTTAAGATACTTTAATAACACAGGTACACAGCCAAAAATGTCCACAAACCATTTCTAGTTTTCCATAATATTTGGGTGCTCCTAAGTAAAAGTCCCATACTAACTTATGTCCCATCACCTACAGGTTCCGCGGTATAGCTAAGAATACAAAAATCCGATGTTTGCCGACAGTTAGAATTATGTGGCCGATAAAATTTGACTTACCTTGAATATTTTCGCTGCAATCTACTCTCACTACATCACGGCATTCCTAAAAAATAGTCCCCAATGTGAACCATTGCCCATGCCCTTGGAATTCGACGCCAAAGTTGAAAATCCCAAAATTGTAGAGATTTTTCTGATGGAAAAACAATTCTGAGGATTAAATCTTGAATGGAACTAATTTTAACTATTCATTGTATCTATTGTTCATTGTGTGCTTTAATTTCGGTTTAAAGCGTTTTCATAAGGACGTTTTATTGGATTTCTTATACTAATAAAACCGATTTTTTGATTTCATTATCTACTCCTAAATGTTGTCAAATTTTGAATAAGTCATGTCAACCTCTAGAACTAAGAAAATAAATACGTTCACTGAAATGTATATGTTTAATCCCATTCTGTAGGATGCCTTGACTTATTTAAAATTTGACAACATTTAGGAGTAGATAATGAAATAAAAAAAAGAAAGGAAGCTACCTTCGGCCAGCCGAAGCTTATATACCCTTGTAGATAAAATAGTATTTACTCGGTCCAGTTCCGTTTGTAATTAAATTTTGTTTTTAAGTTGTCAAGAATCAAAACGCCTACTTCCTACAGTTACAATGAATTTTCTTATATTTGTTTGAATATTCCTATGGGAGCCTTAAGATATAGTGGTCCGATCCGGCTCGCTCCGACATATGTACTACCTGCAATAGAAAGAAGACTTTCGGGAAAGTTTCATCGCGATAGCTTTTAAACTGAGAGACTAGTTCGCATAGAAACGGACAGACGGACAGACGGACATGGCTAGATAGACTCGGCTATTGGTGCTGATCAAGAATATATATACTTTATGTGGTCGGAAACGTCTTCTTCACTGCGTTGCAAACATCTGACTGAAATTATAATACCCTCTACAAGGGTATAAAAACGGTTTTGTTTAGTATAATAAATCCAATAAATCATGAAATCGCTTTAAACCGAAATTAAAGAATACAATAAACAATAGATTCAATAAATATTTAAAATTAGTTCCATTTAAGATTTAATTATCAGAATTGTTTTTTCATCACAGAAATTCTCAAAATTTTGGGAGTTTCAACTTTGGCGTCGAATTCCTAAGACATTGACAATGGTTCACGATGGGGACTATTTTTTAGTAGGTCCTACCGAAAATAATAAAGGTTAGTTGTTTTTTGTATTCTTAGGAATACCGCGAAACCTGTAGGTGATGGAAAATAATTTTGTATGGGACTTTTACTCAGAAGCACCCAAATATCATGGAAAACTTGAAATGGTTCGTGGAAATTTCACAAAGTTTAATTTTGTGTTCCTGTGTAATATCTTAAATATATTTTCCAATAAATGTCACGAGTTTGGTTGATCCTTTTGGATTAACAACAAGAAACATGATATTATAGTATGATATTATGTAAATAGATTAATGTAAACTCTATGCTTACATATATAAAACTTCTGTTTCTAGTTGGATAAATTGCTCATTTTTTAAGAAGCCAATTTAAGTAACAAGTCTAGTAAAAGTATCTTATTTTATTTTGATCTTCAAATTGGTTCGAAATCTATTTTCTATTTCTGTAAATGAAAACCCGCTTAGCTACATTGTGTGTTCCAAACCCCCATTTTCAACACGTTCTATATTTCAACCTATTCGATCGGGGTTTTATTTTCGCCGTGCGGTTCAGAATCAGGTTCAGGTTTTGATCGGGTTCGCTGGACTTTAAAATGCAATTGTCATCGGCCGTAAATTAGATGTGAAGAAATGCGTAATTCGATACTGCGATGACGTCGATGACAATGGCATGCAATCAGCCCTGGTTGTCCGCCCATTACCATTACCTTTACCGTTATGCCCGTACCGCCGCCTCGTTAACTTCGTTAGCATATTTGCGGGATGGTATATGGGTTGAGATGGGGGGTAAAAGTGGGCGGGGTTTTATCAATATGTTGACAACAAGCCGGCAATAATAATTGCAATAACAATTTGCAGCGAACCAAAGAAGCGTGCGAAATGTGTCAAAGGGCCAAGAGGGAGGGAAGGGTTTCGGTTCGGTTCGGTTTTGATCCAGTAATTGCCTTTATGGAAAAAGAAAAGAAGCAGAAAACAAGCTCAACAAGAACTCGTTATAAATCGATGTTGTGGCGATCATTTAAATGGATTGTTCAGGTAATTTCCAATGCAAATGAGGGCCAAGATGATGACGGGCAGAACGGAACCCGAACCCTTCGATGACAAGCGGAGACAGCCTGGGAAGTTTAATCCCCGTGTCCGGCAATCGATAACCGCATACTAGAGTCCTAGAGTCCGAGAGTCCTGGCACCGGATATGGATATGGATATATGTATGCAAATCGAACCGCAGCTCGGATTCAAGTGGTACTAGCCACCAAACCAAAACGAATCGCATCGAAACCGAGAGGAAGCTGCGTCCGCTTTTTATTTGCTCAAACGCTTAATTGTGTATAAAAAGGACCGATGATGATAGTCCTGCGGCACATCCAGAAGGAGCAGCTGCCGAGGGCTGCCAATTAATAAATGGAAATGGATTTGCGTAAGAAATATGCGTTGCCATTTCCACTCACGGCCGTTTCCATTGCCCAACAATGGAGAGCGAGCGAACCAGAGACAATTAGGCAATTATTTGCGCAAAGGATCAAAACCAAAACAAAAAGCCTTGCCACCCATTCACCGCCCATCCACCCAACCACCCTCTGACCCTCTGCCCTCTTCCTCCTCTGCTGCCTTTTGGCTTGTGGGAAAGCGCTCAATGGGTCCATGGGTTCGGGTATGCCCCTTGTGCCCCTGTGTTCCAAATTCCGAAGCCACGGAAGATGAGCAATCCCAGCTGAGGTGACCAGTTGATTGGTGCCGATTCAGCCTTTTTTCAGATTCAAGTATTCCCAAATATTTGAAAATTTCTTTCAAAATATTCAATAAATCAATTTTTTTTACAAATCCTAAAATTTTTTAATTTTACAAAAGGAGCTTTAATAAATTTAGTCCAGTTTGTAATAAAAAATTGGTAAACAAAGAGTTTTGTTGCGCAAGGGATAATAATTTGGGAAATTTACGATGTTTGGTAACCCAAAAATGTTATATTTTGGGTGAGTGTTTAAAAAATAAATTAGGGATTTCACAGAGGGCTGCGATAGTTAATATTTGATTAACTTTTGATCATAAACAACCAATAAAATTGTTATATTGTCTTACTTTTTATAATTTTTGGTTTGGTGACCCAAAATTTATTTACTTTTACGTAAATGTAATAAAATAAATTAGATATTTCAAAGAGGGCTGCGATAGTTAATATTGGACTACTTTTGATCATAAAAACCAATAAAATTCTTCTATTCTTTAACTTTTTATAATTTTTTGTTTGGTGACCCGAATTATTATACTTTTTGGTAAATGTAATAAAATAAATTAGAGATTTGAAAGAGTTCTGCGATACTTAATATTGGACTACTTTTGATCATAAAAACCAATACAATTGTATTCTATTGTCTTACTTTTTATAATTTGTACGAAGTCTTTTGGCTTTATCGTTGAGATGATGGACCATTTAGAGCTGCTTAAAGCCGGTTCTGGCCAATTCTGGCTTTTGGCTAGTGGACATCACTGACGGGAGCAGAGCTTAGGTGAAATTTTTGGGGTGGGGTTGGTGTTGGGTTTCGTTTGGAGTTTGCCTGGGCCGTTGCTTTTAATTGAACATGAGCAATTAGCGTGCAATTTGTTTCGCTCGCGAATGTGAACCAACGGTAAATGGGGGCAGCTCCCTGCGCCCTGCTCCCTGACCCACCCAACCACTCCCCCCGCCACCCTCACCACGTGGGCCACGTGCTTTTCTTTTTTTTTTTGTTGTGTCTCTTGCCAAGAAACGCACTTGAGCAGAATTAATTTTAAATGCGGCTCTGCACGCGGCTAAGTGATTATGTCCTGAGCAGAAAGAGAGAAGCCATTCGAGTTAGAAGCTAGCCATTCAACCACCGCCCATCCACCACCCACCACCACCCACTGCTCGTTCTCCACTCAATTCAGTTGCTCGCATGTTTAATTATAATTAAAAAGCACAGCACAGCATCTCCAGCAGCCCACACCAACGGCACATCCTTCAGGCTAACCTGATCCATAAACATTAAAATGGTTAATTGAGTGCTTAGTGTGTCCTCCCCACCGCCCACCCTCCACCACTGCAGCATAATATTAATTATTTTAATTGAAATGTTCATTATTTTACATCTAATTTGGCGCTAGGTGCGTGTTCCATTCCCCCCTCAATTCATCAACGCCCCCGCACAACGCCACTGGTCAATCCCACATGCTGGAAACCAGGCACAGTGGGCATACTATTTATTGGTGACTGTCTATGTCCCCTAACAAAGTATTTTAGTTCTTCAAAATATATTTATTTAATTGAAAAATAATTGCGATTTTAAAAATTACGATTTAAATATCTTCTTTCCCTATTTTTGAGAAAACCGTTATTTAACAGATCCTAAATATAATTTTTTTCACTTGTTCGGACAATAATAAAAATACTAAAAAACAGCCTAAGCCATAAGAAAACAATTACGAAGGTTTTAAAAAAAAAATAAACT